GTGAGGAGGAGGGAGTTTGTGGGGTTTTTATGGAGGAGGGGGGTAAGAAGATGGGTGTATAGATGGGACAGGGGGACTACAAATGGGAAGAGAAAAAATGGACAGACGTACGGACGTTGAGTTGCAAAAGGTGTACATATATCTCCATACAAGAAGCAAAAGGGATCCACGGATACATACATAATGACACAAGTCACGTCAATCAAACGCAAGAATGTGCCCTTTCATTCGTCCATGTCCAGATCAGACGCCGCCCAATGTATTTCTTTCTTTGATATCACACATATATAAATACTATCATCCCTGGACTGCTCCACAGACCGACCATGCATACATGCCAAGTCCCATCATCCCATCCCATTGCCATCCCATCAAAGGACCGTCTGGCAGGTCATTCATGCAAGCCCCAACAGGCATATATAGCCACAGTATATCATCAGTCCCCCTTCATGTCCCCCTTCACCCCCAAAAAAAGTAATGCTAGAAAGCCTGCCTGGTCCCTCTGGAAAATAGCCGCGACCCCAGCGTTGTCAAAGTCCTCGGACCCCCTGACGGACCAGCCTGTCCCCAGGCAGCGAAGAAGAGACGGTAGTAGATGGTATAGATGAATCAAATTTCGACAAAGAAGGCCAAAGGCTTGCGCGACAGAAGTTTTTGAGCAGAAAAAAAGGTTTGTGTGAGCGGAGTCGAAACAGCAGTGCACGGTCTATCAGGAGGTCCCATATACAAGCGATATAAAGCGTCCGGTCCCCAGAGTTGCAACGCCGCGAACATGATTGCAAGAAAAATAATCAATATTACCCGCCCTCCGTAACGCGTTTGTGCAAGCGCAATCCAAAGCAGCTTTGCGTCGCTATCATGTGATAACGCCGCGGACAACAAGACATGAGTCGTACAGCCGAGACGAGAATGGTATGTGTGTGCGTGTGTGTGTGTGAGTGAGATGAGAGTGAAAAAGATATGATTTGGTAACTGGAGCAGGTCTGAGCCATTATTGGAGTATGTAGTTGCGTCGTTCATCAAGTATTCGTAGGGTCGTTATTATGGACAAATATGGGTCAAGGGAAATTAAGAGTGTGGTGAGATGCCACGAGAGCGCCCGAGGGCGTCTTCCTCGGGGACGCTGTGGCTCCGCACCTTCTTCAAAGTGCCTCCACTGCCACTTCGAGTGGATTTGTGCGAGATCTGTCCGAGACTTTGGTTTTTGCGTCGACGGGCCAGCTCAGTGCTGGAGAAGTCACCAGCACTGAGGCCGGATTTGGGCCGTGGCTTGCGACTCATCATGACGAGGTCCTCCTCGTCAGAGTCAAAGTCGTCGTCGTCGGACTGGGAGTCGATTGCACGATCTTCTCCTGCAGTATAGCCAGCGTCGTTGCTGGACACGAGAGAGGCGTCCGATGGTTTCGAGATGCTTACATTAACCAATGCTGAATGGTTGTCTGCGACCGAAGAGCTGGCAGACAGCATGGAAGGTAGGGAGGGGCTCGAGGTCTCTGGCGACATGCCCAGACCAAATCGGTCTTCGGATGATGATGAGATTAGTGGCCTTGGATCTGTAGCCTGGCTTGCCGGGCTGGTTTCGACCGAGGAGCTGAGCTGTGGAACTTGGTCAAAGTTCCCTGCTTTGATGTTTCGCTGGAAGATCTCGTCATCCGGACTGGGTGGGCAGCTAGAGGACGTCTTTTGGCTAGGCTGGTGCGATTGACGCTTGTTTTGGGCTTCTTCCTGCAGTAGTCGACGCACTTGTTCTCCCTTGGCTCGAAGGATATCCTGGTCAGACGAGTCACAAGGATGAGACTGGTTCGAGACCGAGCCGCGGGTGAGAGGTCGCTCCAAGACGGCCAGGTCGTACGGACGTGATGAGATGGACGAGACGGAAGACTGCCTGGAAGGGGTATTTCGCGACAGGTCAGGATGTAGCCGGTCAGTGTTTGGGCTGGACGTTGCTACAGGCGAGCCATAAGCAGAATGCATGGGCGAGTTCCCGCGGAGGGCACTAGGCTGTTCGACGTGTCCAGCAGCGACCGCGGCACTGTACGCCACGCTCGCCACGGCATGGTTATCCTCTTCGCCGCCCATGAACCGATCAAAAGAACGGTCGCGTGGGAGCTCAGAGGTCCGGTGGTGGCGAAACCGTTCGCGACTGCTCATCTCTCTGAGTTGCCGTCCAATCTTGTGGAAGCTGGAAAGCTTAGACCCATGACGGGCGTGATCAGCGGAAGACTGTTGTTGTGAAGCGGTAGCAGGACCAGCACCCGCGCCAATAAAGTCAGCCTGTTTGACCGTCTTGATTGATGTTGCGGTTGACATGGCAGATAACGCCCTATCTGGCGGGGATGGCCTTTTCGGAAAGCTCGGTAGTGATCTGTCGCCAACGTCGCGGCCGCCGTGTAGTTGAGGCGAACTGGGCCGCGAAGACGACGTACCAGTAAAGTAGTGTGCCTGGTAGGCTTGCTCGGGACTGGCGACGACGCTGTGAGACAGCGGATGCTCCGGGTCGCGAGACTGCTTCAGTGCAGCAGAGAACTCATCTACCTTCAGACTCGGTCTTCGATCGTCTCGAACGGCATACCGACGGGCGTCCTGGCTGATTGTACTGCTGGAAGAGGCCGTAGACGGAGGGCCGCCCTCGGAAGCAGACGTGGCACTACTCTTCGCTCGCCTGCGGGAGCTACCACTGCGCAGGATGCCGCCCAAGGCATTGCTGACTGGGGCGAGAGTCTTCTTGACGACGGAGCCAAACCGCTCGAAAGCGCTGATGGGTATGACGGCTTGCGTCAGGTCGTGGTCCGTGAGTTCGATGCGTTTGCCCTTGTGCTGCCGTTCGGGCTCCGTCTCATCGAGCCAGGCGACCTTGTCTTCAATGTCGCGAACCACCCACGGATGACGTTTGACTTCTCGCAGCGTGATTCGCTTCCGGGGGTCCTTCTCCAGCAGTCGCGTGAGAAGGTCATGCAGGTCGTCGTCGACGTCCTCATACTCGAGCTCATGGGGGAAGCGCTTGTAGCTGCCCATTGACTGAAAGTTGCGTCCGTGAGAGTTGGGCCTCGAGTTCATTCGGCCGTCGACGGCTTTCAGACGACGACGGGGGATGTATGCCGGCACATCATGGATGACACGCATGAGGTGAAATTCGGAGCCTTCCGTGTAAAAGGGGAGCCGGCCATAGACGAGACCGTAGAGAGTCACACCCAATGCCCAGATGTCGATGGCTTGAGTGACTTGCGGGGCTTCGGCCGTCGGATCCGGATCGAGGTCGCAAAGTTCAGGCGCAAAGTATGCTGGGCTGCCAACAGTCTTGGCCAACTCGACGGGGTTGTCCAGGTCCATGTCTTCGTCGTCCTGGTAATCAGATTCGGAGTGGTAGCCATCGTTTTCGTCCTTGGGTATTCTGCCGAGGTACGAGACGCCAAAATCGGATATCTTGACTCGATGATCGCTGGTGCAGAGCAGGTTGGCGGGTTTGATGTCACGATGGACGACTCCTTGGTAATGGAGATACTCCAAGCCTAGTACAGTATCCCGTATCGCCGAACGAGTCTGCGATAGAGTCATGGTAGGAACGTAGATGAAGTTGTCGCCAAGCGTCAGGGCAGCATCATCATCATCATTATCGTCGTCGTTGTCACGGTCGAGATTGTCAGAGGTGGTAGTAGAGCTACTCGCTATGCTTGGTATGCGACCTCGCGATATTTCGGGCTGTTCGTATGGTCCATACATGGTGCCCACAAGACTGTCGCAGGTACTGCCGACTTGGAGGCCCGACAGAGATGTACTAGAACCGCGAGTGGGCTGGAAGCTGGCTTCGAGTGTTTTCTCTTCGTCATTCTCAAACTGTTTTCTGCGCCTGTTCCTGGCGTTTGCTGATCGACGTGAAGTCATCGTCTCGCGCTCGTCATCACTGTCACCGCCATATTCAGCACTCCAGAAATCGGGAAGGGCGGTGGGAGGGGCCTGTAAGCGTTGACGTTGAGCCTCGTCCCACTTGCGTTGCTCCAGTCTCTCGCGGCGTCTTGCGGCACGGCTTATGATGCGTTGATCTTCAAAGTCAGCGGCGTCGTCGTTGAAGTTGCCCGCCTTTTCGCGCTGGAAGCGACGATATTCGACCAAGGTGATTTCGCGAGCGCCTCGTGTTCGCCAGTTGACTTCTCCGAGCTCGACGAGTTCGAGGATGAGATAGACTTTCTTCGCTTTCGGGTCATCAATCACCTCGAGCAGGCTGACTACGTTGGGATGGCGAACTTTCTTGAGTATGGCAACCTCTCGACGAATCTTCTCCTCGTGACTGTCATTCTTGCCGAGTCTTTTGCGTTTGGCCGCTCGTGGAATCATCTTGATGGCGATGTGATCACCGGTGATGAGGTTCCGTCCCAGCTTGACCTTCCCATGAACTCCGCGGCCCAGCTCGTCAAGGACTTCGTAGTCGTTGATGATCTTGTTACCGCTTATGACGTCCTTGGTGACGTCAGCAACGTGAGTCTCGCGTGGAACCTTGCGCTGGGTTGGATGGAGATAGGGGCTTGAGTAGTGGCCTCGTTCGTCGAGATGATGCAGGGCTGACGGACTGGTCGCGGTGAACAGGTCAGGACTACTGGCAGGGGTGTTTCCGGCAGTACGCGAAACCACATCTTGGTCGATGTAGTGGCCGAGACGTCCAAGGGTCAAGATTTGCGACGAGGACTGCGACGTCTGCACGGAGCGATTTTGAGCCCAAAGTCGACCTTTTGGGAGGCCAGAAGGATATTGCTGTGATGCGAGTGCAGAGTATGATTGGTTCGGGTAGTTTGGGTAGTCTCGAGGAGGATAAGGACCCGCGAAATCGATGTGAGCATGGCTTGCTCTCACGGTTGCAGTGCTGGCGGTGGAGAGATTGGAGGCATCTCGCTGCAGCTGAGGTCGGTCGAGAGGTTTTGGCGGTCTCGGTGGGGGAGAGAGACGGGCGTGAGAGCCCTGGCCTGTCACAATCTCAAACTCTGGTCGAAGACTCGGGGTGTAGGTTGAGCCTGTAGCAGTGGTGGCAGTATTATGTGGTTGGAGGTGTTCGTTGAGGATTGGACCCAGGAGGTTCGTGTGGGGACGAATGGGCTGAGAGGAAAAGTATTCGACCTCGGAGACGGCAGTCTGCGGTTGTGAGGAGGTCGAAACGATATTCCACGGGGCAGGCGACTGGGCGACTGAGGGGATCTCGGATCTGGGAGTATGGTCCGAGTCGTCACCGGAGGTGGTAGTGGGCGTCCGTCTTCCTGAGACAGCAGCACCGTCGTGGGGAAGTGAGGAGGTAGTGTCTGGAGGGGGTGGAGGATCTGAAGTGGAGTGGTCGGGAAGAGGGCTTGTATGGGAAGTCGATAGGACGTCCCCCGCCCCCCGCTCTTCAGCGAGAGGAGCACTCCCAAGATCCGACTCTTTCTGGGCATCCATGTGTAGCAAGGGCAAACACATCAGGACAGCGCTTCCTGCAGCGTCTATAAGGCGACTCGCAACAATTGACGGAGGCCGAACATAGCAGGATGGTGAAGTAATCCGGGGGGGGGATCAGGGCGAAGACGGTAAAGAGCGTGGGCAAGGACGAAGCATCCTGCGAGGGAGGGAGAGAGAGGAGATTAGGATATTAGGATAGGCGTAGGTTATGGTAAGTAGGAGAAGCGGAGAAGAGGAGAGGAGGAGGAGGAGGAGGCGAAGCCGTAGGAAGAGAGAGAGAGGGCGGCTTGGGTGGTGGAGAGCAAGAGAGAGAGAGAGAGGCAGAGAGCGAGAGAGCGCGAGAAAGAGAGAGAGAGAGAGAGAGAGTGGAGTCGGGAGTGGTGTGGCAGTGGTGGAGAATGAGGAAAGGTGTGTGTGTGTGGTGTGCGAGTGTGCGAGTGTGCAGTGTGCAGTGAGTGAGGGAGCAGTCGGAGTGCAGTGAGTGCTCTCTCTCAATGCTCTCAAGGTAAGTCTAAGATGGATGGATGGACGGCCAGGCCAGGGCCCCACCACCAGAACCAGCACCAGCACCAGCACCAGCACCAGCACCAGCACCAGCACCAACCAACACGACAGCAGCGAAAAGGCCAAGCTAGATAGTGTAGGGAATGATAGGGATGGGATGCGATGATGGCACACACAAAATACGCGATAATACTATGTAGTTGTCCATGATCGCTTGGGCCAACAAGCAGCCAGGAAAAGGCTCAGTCTGGGCTGGCTTGGGGGGGGCTGCATGCACAACACACACACACACACAACTCACACATGCACACAAACACACATACACACATACACACATACACACATACATGGATGCACACACGCACGCACATACACAGATACACACATATATACTGAGGTTATGTAGTAGTAGTAGTAGTCGTGGTAGTTATCAGGTAGTGGCCGTATTAACTACGTTGTTGGGACACGCCAGAACTGGCTGGACTGGAGCTAATAATCAGGAGGTTGAGGGTTGAGCGGATTGACTCTACCAGAATTACTATTCTGCTCTACTCGACCTACTATAAGCCTCTACTCCACCACTCCACCACTCCACTTCCACCCCCCCAAAACCCAACTCTCTATACCTTGTATTAATTACTGCACATCCTGTACTCACTCTCTCTACCCAACTACCGAATTTCAATCTCGGCCTTTTGTTGTTGTTGTTTTTTTGGCTCGTCCTTTGCTTCAGCTTTTTTGTTACACGTTGCACCGCATCATCGTCATTTGCCGACAGTGTTGCATGCTGGGAGAGATGGCATAATACCCACCACCCTCACAAAGCACAACAGACTCCCCTCCCCCGGCTGCTCGCAGACTACCTCGACTGTGTTGTTGCCGCGCAAAGCGATGCACTCCTCGTTCACTTCTCAACACTCAACCGTCGGCGTAGCTAGTAGTGCAGTAATATTGCTTTTTTTCGTGAATGGTTCGGCGTCGTGTGTCGTATGCTCATGCTTCATGGATTAATGATTAATTAGCAAATGGCAGGCAGGCCGTCGTCGCCCATGCATCTTGATCCAACAGATGCGTCGAAACGTGCCGATCCTACTAATTAATTAACTCTGTATGCATCTGTTACATCTATCCGCCTCTCTGCTTGTGCTATCTATCTATCTGTCTATCTATCCCTCTATCCATCTATCCATCTAATCGTAGGTATATTGTGTCATGACCAAACGCCGCGTACAGGGGTAGGGGGAGGGGGGGAATGGCTCGAGCTAGCTGGCCGGCTGGTGCTACTGTAGTTTGTGTGCTGCTGCTAATAATTACTGCAGTCAGTTGGCTCCCTCGCCCGGCTCGTTGCGCACCGGAAGCTACAGTAGTCGACTGGACAGTAATTACATGAACTAATTATCTACAACAGTAATTGGTAATTTGGCTGTTTGCCATGATGCCAGTGATGTGGGCACAATGCTGCTGCTGCTCTATTCCATTTCCATCACGCTGGCCGACAATGCTTTCTGTTGGATCATAAACAGTCAATCGCCCGTCGTACCATTACCAACTCGCGAAACAGCTACAGGGTTCACATTGGCTGAAGCTAGAAAAAACGACTCGTTCTTTTTGTTGCCAGTCTTGCTGCTTGCTGGACTGCTGGACTGCTAATTAATTAGACACCAGCCCGTCCATGATGGAACGAGCAGTCAGGTTTGGATGCAGCACTAGATTGGTTCAACGAGGCCATAGCCGTAGACGTCCGGCTGGGCTAGAGAGTGCTTCTAGTAATTACAGTACTGTAGAAGTGTTTACTTTAGCCTGGTATGCAGCTATCATCCATAGCAGCCTCAGGCCATTCAAACACAGCTTCACTAGCTAATTACAGTATCATCCATCATTTACACCCTGCCTCATTCACTGCATCATCATCATCTTCATCACCATCGTCATCACCACCACCACCACCACCGTCATCTGCCGGCAGCCCAGTCCAGACCGTCAGTCAATCTACCACAACTCACCACAACACTACATACACTCATACTGGGACACTACATCCACCTCATGCTACACCCTCTTCCCACTCCCGCCACTCTTCTCCTGCTTCTGATAGGCTTCCGACTGCTCAACGCCCTTAGTATTCGCACTTTCTTCCAGCCTGACGAGTACTACCAATCCCTCGAGCCGGCCTGGGAATTGGCCTTTGGTCATGGCTCCGGCGCCTGGATTACCTGGGTGAGTGATGGAGTCTTCTGGTCTTTTTGTTTACATATCCCGTCCTTTCTTTGACTTGCTGCTGTTATTCACTCACTACTACTACTTACTACTTGCTTGCTTCTGGGAGACGCAATGACTGATTCCCTTGTCCCCCCCCCTAAAGGAATGGTCGTGCCGCCTTCGTTCCTCCATCCACCCCTCCATCTTTGCTGCAGTCTACCGTCTGACTGCTTCTCTCTCCACGGCTACTGGCATTCGCCCTGTTGCTTTTCGCGCCGAACTCTTGCTTGCAGCTCCGAAACTTCTGCAAGCCCTCATCGCTGCCATTGGTGATTTCTACACCTGGCAGCTGGCAAACACAGTATACGGGTTCCAGACTTCTGTCTCCACTACCGCGGTACGTATCATTCTCGATCTCTTTGACTTGGCCCCCTCTCCGCAACAACCTTGACTCCCGCCTGACTCGGAGCGCCCTTTGTAGCTTCTTCTGTCCATCATCAGCCCGTGGCAATGGTTTTGCTCAACCCGGACCTTGTCCAATTGCCTGGAGACTACCCTCACCACAATCGCCCTGTCTCTGTGGCCCTGGCAGCGCTGCTTCACTCCTGACCATCCTGTCGGCTCCAACTTGTTACACAACCATGGTAACCTGTCCAGGTAAGGCCGAGCTGCTGCTGCTGCTGCTGCTGATGATGATGGTGGTCTTTATTGATTTTGTGGATAAAGGATACGAGGGGCGCTCGTCCTAGCGGCTGTCGCGTGTGTCCTGCGTCCAACCAACGTGCTCATCTGGTTATCTGTCGCTGCTGCCACCCTCGTCCAGGCCTCGAGCACCGACAGCCTTGTCCTCATTCGAGAGAGCTTCTTATGTGGGTACGTGACGCGGCAAATTTAGCTAATGTTTTTGTTCCCTTTCCACACACCACTACCACTATACGCCGCGTTGTTTACGAGCATCCAATACACCCATTCACTTTTGCTCCTGACTGCCAGCTGACCTATTGCCAGGTCGACTGTCCTGGCCTTTTCTGCCGTGTCTGACCGACTGTACTACGGCGTATGGACCCTGCCTGCCGTGCGCTTCCTTCACTTCAACCTCGCTCAAAACCTCGCCGTCTTCTATGGCAAAAACAGATCCGATTACTATCTCACTGAAGGTCTGCCACTACTTCTCACCACCGCCCTGCCATTCGCCATCGTAGGTCTATATTGGGCTCTTAGATCTCAGCCCTACGCGGCAATTCCTCCTGCATCCACTCCAAAGAACAAGCATGTCGTCCCAGCACAAGCGACAGGCGCGGTCAACGCTGAGGCCCAGTCGCACGCCCAACCAGCCCTCACAACACTGGCATACACCGTACTCATCGTCACCTTTGTCATGAGCATGATCCGACACAAAGAAGTCCGCTTCCTCTACCCTCTCCTACCCGCTCTCCACATCCTAGCCGCCCAGCCCTTCCACGCGTTCTTCTTCCACGCTTCACCCCTGCCCAATACCCGCAGACTCGCTCTGTTCGCACTGCTATCCTTCAACATCGCCCTCGCCCTCTACACATCCCAGGTCCATCAACGCGGCGTCGTGGACGTCCTCACCTACCTACGCGCTCGCCAGGAATCCCCCATCTACGCAAGACCTAGACTCGCCGCAGATGCAGACCCACCACCATCACCACCCTTCCCTTTCACAACTGCCTCCCACGACCCCCTGACCGTCGCCTTCCTGATGCCGTGCCACTCCACCCCATGGCGCAGCCACCTCATCCACGCGGCAACAAGCGCCTGGGCACTGTCATGCGAGCCGCCCCTCGACGTGCCGCTGCATGACCGCGCCGGCTACCTCGACGAAGCAGACCAGTTCTACGCCGATCCGCCGCGCTGGCTAGCCGCCAACATGCGCCGCCCCGTAGGCGGACGGCTGTATGCAACTGACAGCAGCAGCAGCAGTAGCAGCAGCAGCACCAGCACCAGCAACGCAGATAAAAGGGGTTTACCGGCGGCGATGGGGCCCGGGGCGTGGACTGGCCGGTACGCGTGGCCCGAATGCATTGTAATGTTTGATATCTTGCTTGCGGATGTAGGGGGCGTGTTGGGCGCGAAGGGCTATGGTGAGGTGTGGAGGGGGTTTAATAGTCATTGGCATGACGACTGGCGGAGGCGGGGCGATGTCGTTGTTTGGTGTCGGGCGGAGGAGCGGGGTGATGGTGGTGGTGGTGGTGGTGGTCCGGGCGGGAGTGTAGGTGAGACGTGAGATGTGATCTGGAAGTGTAGTGTAGTGAAATGATGTTAACAAAGTGTCGAAGCACGACCATTGCTGATGAAATGTCACAATCTCACACCATATCATTATTATCATTAAATGTCCTTGTCTGACCCCAAAGGCAAAGCAAGTCAATTTACCCTCATCATCCAAACCAAGTGCCTGCCTGCCCACCCAAACCCTATAAAAGCACCTTTGACGCAACACTCAACAGCCAGGCTGCATCCTGCCATCCGCCCTCCGCAGCACTCTGCCCGTCCGCCTTCTTATCCACGTCATCATCGTCGACGACGACGAATTCCGTCCCGACGGCCTTTGCACTCGCTGCGTTAATGGCCTCCCGATCCCGCTCCCTTCTCCGTCTCGCCGCCTCCAGCTCTGCCGTCCTTGTCCGCAGCGCCTCGCCATCAACCATCTTCAAATTCCGCGTCCCGGCCTCGTTCGTTCTCCTGTCTTCATCATTTTCATTTTCATCTTCATCTCCATCATCATCGTCGTCCTCCCCGTCCTCCGCCACGCGGAACAGCGTCCAGCCCACCAGTCGATCGACCCAGCCGCCGAGCCCAAGCGTACCTTCGCGCGTCAGCTTAGCCACCACCTCTTCGCCATCCTCGTCCTCGCCCCCATTACTCCCATTCCCTGCCCCGTATCCGTACCCATCGGCAGTGTCTTCGCCGGGAAGATCGACAAAGTCCGGGCCCATGACCGGACTCGTCGCACCGCTCGCTGCATAGCTCGGCACGCCTGCCCAGCTACCAGCACCAGCACCAACACCGCCGAGTTCGGCCCTGCTCGCGACCCGACTGCCACGGCGACTGTTAAGCGCCGACTGCGCACGGCTGCCCGCGCGACTATTCCACGCCGAGCCGGGCTCTCTGTCCAGCGAGGTGCGTGCAAGCAGGGCTTGATCCAAGCTAGCAGCATGGTGGTGATGGTGGTCGACGTCAGGAGTCGACGGCGCGACGGCGAGAGCAGTGCTGCTATCACGCGCCACGAGCCAGGTCTGGCCCTTCTGGTCGCGCGTCTGCGAGGCGATGGCGAGGCCGGCGCGGTGCAGCCAGTCTGCCGTTATCACGGTCGTGGCGGCGGTGGTGGTGGTGTGTGCGCGCTTGTGGCCTGATTTCGGGGGTTTGCTGGCTTGCGCGGTGGCAGGTGTCGACTGGGGCGCTTTGATGCGGCCGCGGGCATCGAGGGGCCCGGCTTGGTGGAGGGCGCTGGCGGATTGGGATGAGGTTATGGGCGCCGTAAGTGTGCCCGTACCTGTGGGCGAGGGAGGTGCGGTCGGGAAGTAGCTGTTGCCGGCGTGAGTGTACTTGGGATGTCGACGGTGGTGGGAGGAGGCGCGGGATTGGGAGAGGGAGAGCACGCCGGGCGTGTTTGGGGCGGATTTGTGTTGGATGTACGAGGTGTGAGGCGAGGTCAGGGCTGCATCGGTTGGAGACGGTGAGGAGGGCTCGAGGGGTGCAGAGGACAGAGGGGCGATGTTGAGATTTGCGAGGTTGGGGATGGAGCGGCGAGACGAGCGAGAGGTCGGTGTTCGAGGAGTAGAGCCCTCCATTGCTGTGATTGTTGTCTGAGTTGAGCCAGACGTTGTCGAGAGCGGTGATGTTGAAGGTTGAAATGTCGTGACAGTTTTGCGGAGTAAGTGGAGTGGAGAAAGCATAAAACATGTGCACGGATGTTTTGGCTGGCAGGCTTTTGATTGGACAGAAGTCTATGGCTCGTGCACATGCCGCGGTCGACTCCACATTGACACCTCAGGCTGCAGCTCAAGCTCAGGCTCGAGCTTTCACCATCACTTTCTGCCCAACGTCTGCGATCTTCCCCTCCGTCATCGCAAAACATGCACGAAGACTGCACGCCAGTCGACGGTTGTGCTGGAAACCGGAACCGAGCGCTTGCTCCGGCCAGATGACGAGACCAGCCGGATTCGCCGGATCAACTCTTCCTCAAGAACGTGGTTCAAGTGCAAAGCGGCTACACAGCTAGTCTGCCAAAATGCGATGCGAGGCTTGGAACGGTGGCAGCCCAGTCCACGATCATACGCAGCCCTTCATCTACATGATACGAATGCCGCAAATCGAGCCAGCCAGAGCAAAGCCCTCCAACGCATGCATGACTGAGCGCTGGCAAGAGTCCACACTGCTGCTGCTATTACAGGCTACGGCCACGAAGACGGTTGACATTATCCCACGCGCGAATATACGCGTTTGTCCCTTCTCAGCATGCTGCAGACGGCCGTGTCGCAATGCAAGAATGTAACAGAGGGTGCTCAACAGTGTATCCTGCATCAATCATGCATCAAGTATGCCTCAAGGTGGTCGTTGCTATCGCCGTCGCTATCACCGTCGCTGTCGTGATGAAAGTGAGAGAAAAAGACTCGCTTGTAATGACTCGCTATGAGGCTCGCCAGGTGGGTATATGCAGGGCAGAACAGGGCTGCAGTTGCCGATGCAGGTGCAGGCCAGGCGCCACAGCTAAGAATGACTAAGTCGACAACACCTACAAGTTCCGACTTGTTCCCCTGTTCCCTTTTTTAGTCCAGGACAGTCTGGTGCCTGGCGGTGTTAATTCAGCAGCTTATAAGACAGACAGACTGGCACGGCGGGACCAGATGGTAATTAAAAGTTGGATCCATGGATGCCGCGCGGGGTCTGACGGGAACAATCTGACTGGCCAGGAAGAATGCGGAAGAAAGCTGACGGTATCTCTATTGTATAGTCGCCCGAGAACAAAAGAACAACGGACAGAATCACAACACAGCACAAACACACCAGACAGAGAATTCGGAACAAAGAAAACAAAAACGGCTAACGGTGAATTTCTGAAGCCTGAGGCCTGCTCGTCTCTAGCTACGTCACCGTCGGCCTATTCTTCCCGTTCGGACTTTGGAGTTTAGCTTTAACGTCCAACGGCCGCAGTATCGCTCGACCCGGCCACGCGTTCGTCTCATCACGCATCCCTTCCACTCCCAGAATAGGTAGGAACCCAACGTCCTTTTCAGAGGGGGGGAGAGTGGGAGGAAGGAATGCGACAATCACGCTTCAAAGTTCGTGTCCCACCGGTTCTGCTTTTTTCCTCCCACGGATTCGCGACTTCCTCACAACCACCCAACACCTCTCTCACACACTCTCTCTCTCCCACTGAGCCCTGGAACTACGAACTCGCTATCCCCTGATACGCGTTTCTGCTACTCTCCCACGCCTGTCCAACACACACGTATACGCCCTCCAACACCTCCAATCTGTTTCCACAATGGATCTGATCTATACCTCAACTGACTTCCGTTCTCCCAATCCATGGATTTGATCCTGTGACCTTAGCGAACTCGCAGGCGCTCTGAAGCTTCGAGTTTGCGCTCTGAAGCCCCGTTCTCGCGCTCTGAAGCCCTGAGCTGCCCTCCGACGCTCTGAACTGCGCTCTGAACTGCGCTCTGAATGCTGGGTTCGCGCTCTGAAGCCTGCTCACAGGTATTTAGCCAGCTGCCTCTCTCTGAGACTTTCAGAAATTTTACCTGACTGATCAAATTCTCACAGACGTTCAATACTGTCAATTCTCACTACTCATCTTCCAAGCCCACTCGCTCTCAAATATATTGTGTCTGCGTGTCCAGCAGGCTGGCCTTACACTCGTTCATACCCCCATCTCTATCAGTATGTCTGCTGTAATGCCTCTCCCCGATCGCCCTGCCGACGGCCCGCTTGTTGTGGAAGCACCCATCAACAATGTCCATGAACCTGCCACCATCGAGGAGGAGGACGAACACCCTGCCCTTCGTATCATGCGGAAGAAGGAGGCTCTTTGGCAACAACGTCGCTGCGTGATCAGTACGTATCACGTCTCACACACTTATGCATGCGCGCACTGACATATTCCTAGTTGGCAGGGTTCGCTACCAAGTCAAGCTTTCCAGCTATACCTGTCATCGCATGGTCTCCACTATTCCTCCGCCAAACTATGGCACTGTAGAGGCTGGGAGGATCTACCGCAGTGCCTACCCAAGCCAAGAAAACCTCCCTTTTCTCGCCGGCTTAGGCCTGAAAAGTATCCTGTAAGTGATCAACACGTGCTACCTATTCTCTCCGGAACACTAATATTTCCTAGTATTCTTGTCGAAGGTCCCCATGAGGCGACCTATTCTGCCTGGATCAAAGACAATGCCAAGAAGCTCTATACCGTGCCTCTGCCTGCGAATAAGGATGGTGTTCAGATGCAGATCAAAACCATTGCCATGATTATCGACATTCTCAGCGACGAAACGAACTATCCAATGCTCATCCATTGTAACAAGGGCAAGCACCGTACCGGATGCACTGTTGGTGCCTGGCGCAAGCTCCACGGATCATCCATGCACGAAATTCTTGGGGAGTACCGCACCTATGCGGGGAACAAGGCTCGTCCGAACGACGAGGTTTTCCTGACCAAACTAAATGTCCCTTCCCTTCGTGACTATATGCGTCACGGCAGCTTGCACGAAGAGATCGACTTGGGAGTCATCGACCCTACAACTGGGCGCCATTACTGGCCGTTCAGAGCCGACCACGAAATGAATGCTCGCGTCAAAATCTCACGAAGCCTCGTTCCAGTCGCTTCAGAAAGCTCGGCCCCAGTCCCCTCCGTAACCGTGGTTCCAGTCTCTGCTGCAAGCCTCGTCCCGGTCAAGCGTACCAATGGTGCTACCTCCCCGAAGATGAAGGCTTGCAGATTGGAGACCTAATCACTCTGCCTAGCACCTTGTTATGTCAGGCAAACACAATCACTTCGAAAATATATCTGTAATTATCACCTCTCCACTCATTCATGGCGCACTATTCGGAATCGGCTATAGACAATATCAGGGACCACGGTAATTGTACTCATGGAAGGATCTGGCAGCCAACCAAGGGCTGGAAGCTGTCTGCAGGCGTTGTACGGTCTTTTCGACGATACCTCGGTGCCCACTGAGGCTCGTCTACTTGTTTTACACTATAGAAAAGAAATAGAACTGCACAGTTGATGTTCATCCCTCGGGGCGCGCATTAGACTGTTATGGAAGGTTCTTGAGACCCAGCATCGTTGTCGTTATTATTGTATTATATACTACTCCCTCTTTTGAATACATTAAACCATTTGCGAAGAATTTCGTGGCCTACCTATGTTCCTCGTGACAGTCTCAATGCTTCGCTTCCAATGTCAATGACCATACGTTAGTATATCCCAAGTCGCGGAATTGCTCCATCATGAGCCCCAAAGAGAGAGTGACATGCAGATATTCTTCGATCGAGAAGAGACATACTTTATTACCATGACTTTCCAATCATTATGCCCCTGACTACTACTTTTACTGTTTCCTCTACTCATTTTTTGGTAAAACTGGAGACTAGTGTCTAACATCATGTTTAATTCTGTAGAGTAGTATGACGATAGTAAGAGTCATGGAGACGAGGAAGAACAGCAGGAACGGGTATATATCTCTCTTATAAAGGGACCTCACACATGACACGAGTGCAAGTAGCCAGCAAGCGAAAAAAAAAAATCGAGCCTCAAATCCTTCGAATTACGAAGCAAGCTATTACATCTGGACGCTTTCGTGTCGAACATGTATGTATGTAAATATCTATACAAGGAAAAAAAAAAGCTTGTCAAAGCAATAGATAGATTCAGCGAACCAGGCCACACATCCATATCAAAAACTCGAACGAATAAATTGGTCGGACAGAAAAATTCGAAGCAAGATAGGAAACACCCAGAACAAGTACGCAAGCAAGCAAGCAAGCTCACTTGATCTCACTGGGAAACTGGGAAACCACATTCAAGTAAAACGCATTCGACCTGCCCGAACCTCCCGCCGACGCCTTATACTGATAGCAGCCCGGCTCGGACGGCACAGTGAACGTAATGCCACCGTCCGAGCCCGACTGCAGCCCCTGGCCACCACTGAGCGTGGCTCCTTGAAACGGACTCGATGGGCCGCCGTTCGGACTCCTGCCAGTAACGGTGATGGACACGGTCGAGCCCACGCTCACAACAGCGTACTGCGGTGCGATAGTCAGGAGCTGGTTCAGATTGAAGGCGTCCCACTGCCACAGCGACGAGTCCCCGGCGCGCACCTGGGCACCGCACCCGCCAGACGTGGTGAACACGCCGTTATTCAGCACGCCCCAGTAGCTATTACCGCTCTGTTGAGTCGAGCCGATGCGCGTGATGAAGTAGTCGTTGAAGCTCGGGGAGAACGTGCCGTCGTAGGTGAATCCGGTGAGCTGGGAAGCGGCATCGGTCTGGCCTGTGATGGAGGTCCCGGTGGATGCGCCGCACTGGTGGGTGCCGCCGCTTGGGGTGGTGATGGAGCGTGGGCCGGCGTAGATGCAGCCCTCGAAGACGGTGCCTTGGTTGTTGTCGGCTTCGATGCGGTGGAAGGCGTTGACGGAGCCGGAGGGGGCGGCGGCGGGCTGGGTGCAGGAGATTTGCCCGATTGTTCTGCTTACGTACGTGCCTGGCGGAGCGCCGCAGCTTGATATGGCAATGGTGGACGAGTAGACGGTGGAGGTGGAGGTGCAGGACTGGACGGTGGCAGTGACGACGTTTGTTGAAGTTACGCGGACGGTCTGCTGTGGCAGGGTTTCGATAACAGTGGTAGTCTGGGCAGGGAGAGTCTGGATGACCGTTGAGCCGGCTTGGACTATGGTTGTTGCTATGATCTGTCAACAAAGGTCCTTGGAAGTGGTATGGCAGGTTCTGCTTACTTTTGATAGGACTTTCGGGGCTAGCAAGGAAGCATTTGCAGGCATCCTTCAGCTTTTGAAGGGGTGGTGACTTGTTACATCCAGCTGTCGCAAAGGCGGGTAAGGTATCGCGCTTCATACGGTTTCGATATTGCGGGTCATCTTGAGCAGCGAGTTCATCCAAATCGCGTGCCTGTGGTTGGTTCGATGCCGGGTTAGTAAATCGTGGATAGGTGATGGACGTGACAGGAGTTTGGCCATCGGTAGTCACCACACAGAGTGTGCCCTGGGTCTGCGTGTTGGTGACCTCGACACTGTCTACCACCGTAGTCGTATATTGGACCGTCTCGACAACTGTAGACTGTGGCAACGTCTGCTGGACAGTCGTCGGTGACAACGTATTGACGACTGTGCTGAAACGGGCAGACGGTGTCGAACATGGCTGTTTGCCAATTAAGGCCTTGCAGAACTTCGTGACGAGGGGCTTCCATTCCTGCGGAATCTGGTCCTTCCAGAAACACTTATCGTATGCACACCCTGGCGGAGGCCTGACTGTGGCCGTGGCCACCCCGATCAGGGAAACAAGAATCGATGATGCCTTCATAATGACTCAATGCTGAAGTTGACAGACGCAGATAACAGGAGAGACCAAGAATATTTAATAAGACGGGGTTCGAAGGTTGTATCAAACAAAAGGGGTGGAGCGCCGACGGCCGCCTGCGGCACTGCATTCGTCAAGCATCCAGAACACTTCAATTCATGTTTAGTATTGCGGACACGAATGCGGCGAGCAGACAGCGTTTCATTCGTTCATGCTCCAGGCCAGCAATATGAGGCGCATCGAGACTATGGAGTGGCGTTCACGGCACCACAGGGCGCTGCCGAAGGATTTCCGGTCGCTCGGGTCGGGTTAGGTACTCCAGGCCATGTGTGCTCCGATTGGACAGGGCTGTCCGAACCTACCAATCAATTGTAACCAACAGCGCCACTTGGCTTGCGGAAATTTCCCATGACCATTAATTACTGTATAGTACAGTTCAAAACAGTATGGCGTTTAGGTACATTCCCATGGTATAGGGACTTGAGGGTAAATTCTAATCAGCTTTAGGGCTCTACGAGACGACCGCCAACGTTGTTTCTACGCCCTTGTAAGTGCGGTTTGCGGGGACGACAGCTACACCGTCTTCTACATCAACTTTCTAGCTCTGCCAAGGAGAGATCTCAGGTTTTGCTTGGGGCCTCGTTTATGCACTAATTAGGATAACTGTACCACATTCCATGCATCCGTATAGAAATGAACCCCCGGATCCATCCATTGATAATCGAACGGAATTATCAATCTTCCCGTTCGAGTACGTAGACGCCAACACGCCAACATGCCGACACGCCGACGTGACGGCACAAAGCATAGACAGGTGAGCATGTATAGCCAGATACGTCCATGATACACAGTGCCATCTGGACCCGGGCAAGTTTGAACCTGCTTATGAGGCGGTATCATATATCTATTGACAAAAAGCCACTAGCTATCTGCATGAAACGCACAGTCAAAACACTGCACACCAGAAGAAAGAAACTCTACAATACTCCACACAAAGAGTAGTCTGGGTATTACTAGAACAAATCACAAAGTAGGCAACATGTCGATCTGATGAGACGGTAGACATATCACTCACCTGGCACGACAACTCACGGCTTCGACCACTTTGCACTGGTCAGCCGGAAAAGCTGATCCACATATGTTGATGTCTCGCTATCGGCGACGCCGGCTTCGGTTCGCATGCCGAGATCGTGCAGCTCAATACCAGGCGCTGCCTTGTCGTCCGTGTCGACGGTAATGTCTTGACTGACCATGATTCCACCGAAAGGATTGCAACTAGGTTCTTCCCGGCTGACACGATCGACGAGACCCTTTTCAGAAGAGCTGTCAGTCACGAAGTGAACTGGTGTGAGATCTTTGTTGCCTCCCCCGAGGCGTTCTAAGAGCTTGGACAGAGGTTTCGCGGCGGCATTACGTGTGACGTCGTTTATGCTAGGTTTATGGACTGTATTCGAATGATACTGCAGCTGATTGACCCCAATGTTTGCTAGCAGAGCGCCAAATTCGATGTGGTTGCGGCGAGCTAGCAGTATGTGATCTACTGAGCCTTTGTGCGTGCGTTGTCGGCATCGGAAGAAACTGAAAGGGGTCCAATTTACGACGTCCTCAGCGCTCAGGCTAGAGCTATGGACATCGGGAATAACGCAGAATGAAAAGAGAGTAGCACCTTTGCTAGCACTGCAGTTCTGAACGTTAACAGGCGTGCCACAAAACAGGGCACACCGCAGGAACGCGGCTGGCAGCAGCTTCTCCAGATGAACCATGGTCTTCCATACAAGCCGGTGGAACTCTCTATCCTCTGAAGTTGTAGCGTCGTTTGTCATCTTATCGCAGTAGTTCAAACACTGAGTATAGTTGAATCCATCTAGACGCTCTAAAAGCTGCACTCGAGAAGGCGGAAGCGTGGTGGAGTAGAGTTCCACGCTTGGAAGAGTATTAGGACAGGTTTTTCGTACCAGAACATCCCAGCCAGATGCAGAGCTCTTCACGGGAGGGCGTAAGACAAAACACGATATGTGTGTTCCTGATTCGAGCGGCGATTTCATCTTTTCGGCGTCCTGTAGACCGAACTCCTTCATGCACGTTATTTTCAGCAGCAAGTCCTCTCTCTTAACTTGCATACCCCGCGCCATCAGCTCAAGAACTTTGTCAGTCGGCCTTTCGATATGTGCAAATCGATATCCTTGATCGACTAGTCTTACTGCCTCGATCTTGTTGACTTGTTTGACCAGAAACAAGATCTGGCCCTTTCCGAACAGTGCAGGGGCATACATCCCTGCTTCTAACGCAGACATAACATTTCCACCCTTGGTCTTGAACTTCTTGCTTCCTATGCCTGTCATCATAATATCGTCCATCAAGGTCCCAAGTGAGTCTAATGGCACGTGGAGATTATCGGCAAGGTCCTGAGCAGCAACACAAAATTGTTCTCTGAAGATAGCAGAATAATCGTCCTCGGCGGTCGCGCCGTCCCATGATGTGGTTGCCGTTCGCAGTGCTCCAGGTCGTATCGAGCCCTGTAATGCTCCGACTGCTCGCAAGTGAGATCTCATTGTTGGTATCAGAATTGCAACGCCAGACCAGTGGTGGGTGACGCGATAGATCCATTGGAAAACTGGATGTGCAATGTTGAATTCGTCGTTCAAGGATCTCTGGTTGTATTGCTTTGTGATCATTCGACAAGGTAACAGTCCTTCTTGGGTGACGAGGACACGTCCATCGCGATCAACGATGAAACTTGCAAGCACAACGTGTTGTGCACGATCTGCTAATTCTCTCCGTCGCCGTTCGGTCACGTACATCAGCGTAACACTACAAAGCAGCGCTGTCATACACTAGAAATGGTAAGTACGATGTGACATGTATTAGGCGCACACATACTAGTGCTGTCGCAACAATGACATTGCGATTTCTTTCTTCCTCGGTGCCGGCATAAGTTCGTATGCGATAATAGGTCGTTCCAGCAGTAGCAGTCCAATGCATACCAGACACTGTACAAGCTAACAACACGGCACACATCACTCGTCGGTACCACGAATTTATCCATAGCTCTTTCTGACGGAAAAAAATGGTGAAGGAGACCCAGCAAGAGACTACAGCAATGCTTGCAGCACCGATTATATGACCTGGTTTGTTCGACAATCGATAATTCGTGGCACCAAGATTGCCCACATAGTGCCTGCAATTCGGTTTGAGCATTACGATGAGTGAGTGAACATTGAGAGACTTACATTCCTGTGATAGACAAGCCTGCAGTGAGTCCAGTACCGATGAGCGAGAGGTGCATTGCACGTTGACTCCTGCTAAAGCGATCTACGAGGAAGAAACCAACATAGAGGAAAAAAATTGGCAGTACAGCCGACAACGTTGTCCAAGCCGCGTTGTAGTACAGTTGAAGCTCAGGTTCGCCATTCGCCAGTACAATGCTACGATTACCAACGAAATGCATGCACCAAATGGCTACAAGTCCAAAGCTAACGGCACATGCACCTAACTGGAGCCTATCTGAATGTTAGTTGTATGAGAAGTTGCACATAACTGGCTTACTCACTGGCTGATGAGGCCTTGACCTACTCTTCGACGGTGAAGAAACTCGACAGTCGTCACGGACCCAACTAGACTGACAAAGTAAGACAACATAATGATCCACCACACAAAGTGGTAGGGCACTGGACCATCCAAAGTGTCATCTAGGCTCTCCCGCATATGCTCCATAATGTCGAAAAGGAGCAGAAAGTTAAGAGCGCCAAGAACCACTTGGTGAGTCCCAGCAAATACTACTGGTCTTTGCAGAGGACACAGTGACACAAGATGTGAAGATACAGGTCACTAGGAGTGTTACAAGAGCTGTGCAAAGGTGGTTAACAAGAAAAATCGTCGAGTCTGTTTTATGTCAGCGTTGATTTGGTTGAAAGTCGTACCACGAGACCTATGCGTTGAGAAGGAACGAAGGAGTCGTAAATGTTCCTCGTCGAAGGACAGTGGGTATCTGGGTAGCTGAGCTACCTGGGCTAGTGATGAATCTGAAGGAAAGTACTGCGGTCATAAGAGCTTGGTATACAGTGACTGGCGGTGTCGATGTTCTTCCGCGACTTCCTCCAGTATACTCTATTTACACGGAGGAAAGGGCGACCTGCAAGAGACGACCTTGATGAGGTAATCGAAATTGAAAGAAATCTGGAATGTAGAATGATGGATATGGACATACAATGTCCAGATCAAATTGTCAATACTGGAGCCTATAGCAAGCATGAGGCTTTCCACCAAAGGCCCCAGGTACAGATTGCGCGACGTCCTAGGGATATATGCAGAAGCCATGCCTACAGGCCACGTTGGGTAGCACGAGGTATGCCGAATGTCGAAATGCATCTGTCTGTGATATGGACAATGCAGACAGGGATACCGGCTGCATATTCGTTCGTAGCTACCAGGCTCTCTAGGCTAGATTACCAGGGATGATACAGTGTCACCAGAGGTCAAAGGTGAGATGAGCGGCGAAGAGCCAAAGGTAATCAAAGGGCCGCGTAGATTGTCCGCTTGAGCCAGCTGGAGGAGATTCTGCATCCAGCAGCACGCCCTCGTGAATAACATGCTGCAGGTATGTGGTGCGTGAGGTTGACGAATGACACAGTCAGTTATTGATGTAATGCATAGACCAGTACCAGTGCTATCGAAGAGGACACTCATGCTTCAATAGGGACAGTAGTTGATGCAGAACGTTCGATGTCGCCGCTTTGAGCTCTCGAGCGTTGAATCCACTCGATTGCCGCTCGTCTGAATTTCCCGAAGTGAAAATGTAACACGCGATGCCGATGTACGGAGGACATACTACTACATCTACGCGTGGTTGGGCAGAGCAGAATAGATCGACATGAGGACACAGTCGTCGCCTCTATCTGGGGAGCCCTTGGTGTCGTGTTTCTCGTCTCTGTCGTACATGGGAAACTTGTCTCTTCTTTTTCCCAATTTTGCTGCCTAGGGTTAATTAGTTCTACTCGGGATGTCTCTGCTCAAACCTCCTTCGGTCTAGCTTGTTTCCGATAGCAAGGTAACCTTTAATGGGGAAAATATAGGGTCACGTGAATCTCGCAATATAACCCGAGCTTCTCCAGGTAATCGCATTTTCATACACCTCATGGATCTCGTCAGGTCACTTGAAGGTCAGCCGCCAGTTGTACAGACAAGCTTTCCCGAAGATCTCGCCCGTATATCGGGTGCAAGGTAAGCCACAAACGATGCTATTCGTGCTCTTCTCATGTACAGATTCCAATGGCCTTCTTTACTCACTCTGTTGGTGCATATCCGCACCCAGGATTAAGCAGTTGCTATTCATGCTCGACATAGACCGCCTGCTCGAGCTGTAACCCAGGTCTCATCAACATTGGCACACGACAATATGCGTAATCAGCCGGAATGCGTGAGAGGCTCATCCGTAAATGTAGCTTCTATTGAACAGCGTCAACGATATTGTCCTGGCTTCATGATAACCCCAATCCTGACTCTCGCATACATACTAACATAAGATCGGGATGCCAAATGTCGTTTCAAAGTCATTCCGCGAACTTCAGGAGGCCTTGGATCGCAACTTTAATAAGAAGTAGAGGCGCAGACAATTCTGAGCGCCGATCACCAATGGATCTGCCATTGACCATTATCGGAACGACTGTCCTCGATTTGAAAAATGTATTGCGAAATAAGCACTTTTGTTTCATCCTCGTATAGAGAAGTGGTCTCATACCTCTCAGTTGGACGACTTGGCTCAGCTGAGCCCAGATTGCGCCTTATTCTGCTGAAGGAACGAGTCATGGACTGGTCAGAACTTTCTTCGAGGTTCGACTTAAGGCTTGTTCAGATTCTTGGCCTATGTAACAATGGCTGCATGTTCACCTGTGTTGCTTGACTCTGTTGATCGTAATTTATGCATATGAGTATCGTCATATTTCTAGCATGTCACTGTCATCGATGTCATCTATAAACATGTCCAATTCGTTAGTCGTTTGCACGTATGTACTGTCGTACTGTTCAACCTCGTCATATTCTATCGATGTGGCATTTTGCGATACGTTGCGTGAGAAGTATCCTTCATCGTAAGCTTCTTCCAAGAGCATCGCTTCCTCAAGGCTCAATATGCACTCGTCCTCATTGCAAAAAAGCGAAGGATGCTCAGGCGTGCTCCTTGTCTCCGTAATGCGATATGTAATTTGAACGCAGTCTGAGATGTGACGATCCTCATCGTCCAGTTCCTCAGTAAACGTTACCGCTCTGTGCGTTTGCGGAGTAGGAAGGTCCGATGAGGACTGCAGCATCATAGCGCTCAATGTAGTACTAGATGTAGTCACTTCGTCGGGTGGCATAGCCACAGTGTGCCGCAGACTAGTTCGAGGGTCGATATACGTATCTAGTGCGGGCTGCAGGGCTTCTAAGGACGTCGGCCTGAATAAGTCGCGCTTGATGTTGATATCGTGGCAAAGGGTGCAATCGAAGAGACTACCTGACCCGCTTCGGTCGGAGAGTTCAGCATCTGGCTGTGCGGCTGATGTTCCACTGCGCGTGGAACGTGCTCGTGGGACCATACTTGTTTGGCTTGGAGCGAGGAGCTCGGGAAAGTCCAACGCAGTGCGATGTTGAGATTCTGCTGTGAAGCTACTGTTGGGGGGAAGAATCTCGGGCATACCTCCAATTGATTCGAAAGTCATGTCCGTATCTTTGTTGAGCAATCCGTCGCGAGATATGGTCATTTTTGTGTCGTGCTTCATAGCGTTGCAATCGGAATGGCCTGCTTGTGTTGCGTCAAATTGAACATAAAAGTCATCATGTAACCACAAGTCCTCAGCTACATCGGAGTCATCCACATGTTCCTCTATCTCAATAACAGCATCATCTGCTGTTTCTGAATCTGGGCGAGAGGTATTCTTGAAACTGCTAGCTTGTGTCAGTGGTATGAGCCTCCTCGCAGCTTTTACGTCAAATAGCGACTTTTGGAGCAGCTGCCATAGCCTTGCACTTGATAACAGTTGATGATGATGATAATGATGATGCTTATCAGTGGTCTGAAAAGCTGAGTTTGTTCCTGTCTGACTCCACAAATTCAATCGGAGTAGCTTCGTCTTCAAAGAAGGCGACTGTGTGTTGTACAGGACTGATCGTGAAAGTGCTTGAGATATTGTGGGAACAAAACATGCACGAATTGCTACCGCTCTCATGTACCCTGGTGAGAATAACGCTGGCGCGACATTAGCTAGACGCGCTGTTAGATTATCGGCTTTCATGTTGACTCCTTTGGCCGTCTTATGCAGTCTGGCGCTAATGGCCCTCCGGACTGCAACATCCAGTAGTCTGTGAATGGCTGGCGGGCCATCTTTGAAAGATGCCATTGTGTGATTCACTTGCTTATCGCTATATGCTTGCTCACTGTGAGACGTCCCCAGAGAAGGTATGGAAGATCGCCCTGATGTGGTAGCGCTCGAAGAGATATTAGAAACTTTGTCGGTTGCGACCTTGACACATGTGTTCCGCTGATCAGATGTGCAGGGATCATAAGTGTCTAAGCCCTCCTTAGTAGTAGATTTTCGCGTTGTTGGCATACTTATCGGCGCCACGAACTCCAGGTCTTCAGATTGTGATTCTTCTTCTGTCGAAGGCAAGAAGCTGATAATCACAATTTCCATCCGAACACACTGAAGCTCCAGCATACGAATAGCCTTAGGAGGATTCAGATCCGTTGGAAGTACGCCGGAGAGCAAGTGATGCAGTTTCGAGGGCTCAACGTCGGCATCTTCTCGATTATGGCTGACATTGATCCGGAATAAGCATCGATTCGAATGCTCCGATCTTGGGGAATCTTGTAAGTCAGTACATAGACTTGCATTGAGGTTGAGTTGACGAAAGAGCTGTGGATTCCAGGGTCAGTAAATCCTTCGAAGACCTCTCACTGGCTGTCACTAACATCACTGTCAGCCAGAGTTTGTCCAAATGACCTCGCTTCATTAATATCTTGGTTTTCACCCAAGACCGTGATATCGAATAGTAGATGTAGAGCCTGCCCTCTACGAACCCACACCGATTGAGATCGTAATGCAGCTAGTAGAGCTCTCTGAGATATGTTGGTTGGATTGTCAGCTGTAATAGACCCAAAGAGAGTTATGGAGAGAGCGAGACAAAGTTGAAGTCCGGCCCTAGGACAGTTAAGATGCAAGCTTCCCAGCTTCAAGACTTGCTCATCCATAACACCGAGGAAGTCATCCTGGCAACACGAGGATGTGGTGCGATGCTAGAAAGCTTTCCCCGGAATTGTGGCGGTGACAAGGCTGAGATGTGAAAAGGTCCGTGCGCCATTGGAAGCACACGACCGAATATATATATCCTTACGAGAACAAGATGGAATGCGTGCTCAATTTATGAGAGACTACAATACCAATGTGAATATATCGAAAAGTCTAAATCAATTCGACCGAGGCCATAATCAGAACTCGTGAAAATGTGAAGATGGGCAGACTCGTCCCCTCCATAGTTAGTCAATCAGGATCGAGTACTGTGGAAAAGCGTAACATTTGGGATTATAGACTAATAGAAGCTTACTCTTACAACTGATTAGAGAGCCTAGAAGCCGGATAGTCGACTCCCTCCGAGGATTTCTTTGATCCTTCAGCGTAGGGAACAGACCATGACGTACAATGTACCTGTAACGACTTTGCAGACATATTCGGCGGCAAGCCTTGAGCCTTGGTGTCCAGCACTCATATGCCGCCAGAGAATATCACAGCAATTGACAAGATATCAGTAAGGGTAAATGAAATACCACCAGGTTCAAGTATCCGAAGAATAGGCCAAAATACCTGAGGTGCGGGATCCGGGGAAGACAGGTATTGAACTAAGCTGTGGCACAGGAGGCTGAGGCAACAAAACACAAGTCCAGGAAGGGTCTACGCGTTTTCGACCTGGACATGTGTACATGAGGCGCAGCGAAGAAATAGAGCGAAGCGGCGGGGAGAGGGAGTTGCAGCGTGCACTTGAGCAGCAGCGTCAATCATGTCGTAGGTGGAGGACAGTGAGTGAGGGTAAGTGGAAAATCTAGAGCGCAGATTTGTTGTAGCAAGCGCGATGCCATTTTCGGTTAAGGCGTATGACGATGGGATACCTGATGCCCAGGTGGCTATCCATTCTTCGTGGGTACACTCCAGGCTCACTTCCACTCTCCACACAAACACCTCACACACGAGCCTCTCCTACCTTCCGTCAGCCACAGCTCCAATACCTCTTTTCCCACTCTTCCATTCACTTACCTACCTCTGCGACAATTATTCCAGCGCCTAGTTCACTTTGCGAGCTCGCATTCTTGTGTCGTCGCCCATTCGTCATTCGCCTAGCGCCCTTCCCCCACTCTCCTTCCATCCGCTTCACAAATCTACACTGAGAAATTACATCCGCAACCAACAACCGTGCGTAATTACAGCCTACTGCGAGGTCTTCGTAGCCAGCGACAATCATGGGTCAAACCCTTTCTGAGCCTGTCGTGGAGAAGGTAAAACTCACTTGACCTCATTACCCAGCGTACTAACGCGGGGGGCGAGCACTAAGTCTCGCCGCGGCCCAAATTTGACCCCGCGACGCGTTTTGCGAGATGCCTTCTACCACGCAGTGTTTTGAAAGCTGACTCTTTGAGATAGCACTCCCAAGATGGCACGGACGATCGCTTCGCATATGGCGTTTCTTCGATGCAAGGATGGCGTATTAGCATGGAGGATGCGCACGCTACCATTCTTGACTTGAAGCCCGAAGATGGAGACGGGAAGCCGATGGACGGGGCAAAGCGACTAAGTTTCTTTGGCGTGTATGACGGACATGGTGGTGACAAAGTTGCAATATACACTGGGAAGAACCTCCATAAAATCATCGCGAGGCAAGAGTCGTTCAAAAAGGGCGATATTGAGCAGGCCCTGAAGGATGGATTTTTAGCTACGGACAGAGCGATTCTGAGTGGTAAGGAGATCTTTTGATCCCAGCTGTCCGGATTCAGAAGCTAAGCAAGCGAATAGATCCGAAGTATGAAGAGGAAGTATCGGGTTGCACAAGCTCCGTCGGCATCATTTCTGATGACCAGATTTTCGTCGTATGTACCTTTTTCCAGCCGCGAAATACGGTACTAATCCTGTCAGGGAAACGCAGGCGACTCAAGGACCGTCCTAGGCATCAAGGGGAGGGCAAAACCCCTATCCTTCGACCACAAGCCCCAAAACGAAGGTCTGCATAATTACCACTGTCCGCAAGGAGGACCAAAGCTGACTGAGGAATAGGAGAAAAGGCCCGTATTCAGGCTGCCGGTGGCTTCGTTGACTTCGGCCGCGTAAATGGCAATCTCGCACTTTCGCGCGCTATTGGAGACTTCGAATTTAAGAAGAGCGCAGACTTGCCTCCAGAGCAGCAAATAGTCACAGCATTCCCTGATGTAACCATTCACGACATATCCGATGACGATGAGTTTCTTGTTGTTGCGTGTGACGGTAGGGTTAACCTCATGACTAGCTCCATATCTCGTTGCTAATTTAAATGCTCTAGGTATCTGGGATTGTCAGTCTTCCCAGGCCGTCATCGAGTTCGTGCGACGGGGGATTGTTGCTAGACAAGCTCTATCCGCGATCTGTGAGAACATGATGGATAATTGTTTGGCATCAAACAGCGACACTGGGGGAGTTGGATGCGACAACATGACCATGATTGTAGTAGCCTTATTGAAAGGAAAAACACTCGAGGAATGGTACAAGGAAGTTGCAGACCGAGTCTCAAAGGGTGATGGGCCATGTGCACCTCCAGAGTACGGCAAGTCTTAAGCTTTCTTTCTGCCTGAGCAACTATAATGACGCGGTCAAATTTAGCCGAATTCCGGGGACCGGGGATTCACCATCGCTTTGACGACAGTCCCGACGATCTTGATATGGATTTTGAGCACCGTGGTCGTGGCGGAGGTATGTCCTCGCGTGTGATCCTACTCGGCGATGGCACCGAGCTCTCGAGCGACTCGGCTGATAGTGACTTGTATGATCAAGACAACGAAGACGAGGACTTGGACAACCAGCTCTCAAAATCTGGCACACTTCCCGATAAGAAGGAGAAGACATCGGACCCAACAAATGTCGTTCCTGTTGTCAAATCTCCCGCATCTACTACTACCGAAGCCTCAGAGTCGGACGCTAAGCCTTCTGAACCCACCATCAAACCCGCTGTTGATACCCCTTCTAGTTCGCAGAAATAAGTTCTTGGCTCGGAGGAGGGAATGCTTGCGTTTGGGTCGCTGTACGGCTAGCTTCACGTGTATATGACCATATGACGAGACAAGGTTATATGTTCTGGAACGCAATGACATGGGTTGTGGTTTGATGGTGTCGCGACGGATCTCGATTGAGAGGGTTCTACATTGGATGGCACAGACGCTTAAGGTATAACATGATACTCATCCTCGATTGATTGTCATGATGAGACGAGCTACTTGCATTACTAGGACGATTATATGTGAGTATGTGCATACTGTAACGTCTCGGGCTGAGACGATCTGCACAATAGCTCACCTATTGAGACGGTCCTATAAATAAATCACGGTCCCATTTCTTCTATTGGTCATACTCGTCCTCAAATCATGATAGACTGTGTCTTTGTCGTCCTCTTAATGCTACCCAATCAATACCCATCATGCTTCGATTTACTTCCACGAGTTTTTGTGGCTGATTCGGACTTTACTTTCAGATCTATTCTGGCTATTCATTTATCCCACCAACACACTCGACCTTTTCGCGACATGATTGTACGACTTTGACAGTGAGTCTGACAATTTTTTCACGCACACTCAAGTCATACCTGGTGTACATCTGAGATCCCATCGCGTCCACGATGGCCTCCAGTGTGTCCAGACTGGCTACAGCGTCATTGACCGTTGCAGAGTATGGTAAGATACTACAATCCTATCAACACCCAACTCTACCGCAACACGTGCATCCTAAAGACACTGGATGACCTTCCGCGAAAATGACTTTCTGCCCGAGACCTCCTACCCCTACAGAGCGTAGGTCTCTTTGCTGACGTATGTGTGCGCCCATGCCACATACCACCGATCCACATTGCTCTCTCTTTCTTCGACCCTTGCTCTACACTAATACTTCCCTCATAGAGCCGCTTGGAGAGTGTTAGTTCGCATAATCGTGAATCCAAAGAACAAATGATGTTTTGGGGATTGGTTAGCTTTTAAGACTGCCACGTTATCCTTGTTGTCCATATTAGAGGCTTCTCAAAGGGACTGCGCCCATTCTGGCTTTGAACCCCTCCTTGAGGTGATTACTTTGGAGTCCATGGTGGCGTATGTGGGTAGTGTGGGTAATGTGAGGCTGATCTTAGGAGAGTTGAGTTGACTCATGGAGCCGAAGGAGGAGAAATTACAATTACTCATGCATTGTCACCTTGAATGTCCATGGTCCTCAACGCATGACATCATCGATTGACCGTTCTCTGCATCGTCAGCTTGGCAGCAACTTGACTTTTACCTAGGTAGATGTGTATCCTGAATCTAGGACGTAGACAAAATTATATTGAGTTTTATCAGGGCACTGTTGTCTATTGCCAGAGGCTTTATCTGTTGCACTGTGTTTAAGCTATAGAGTCTGTGGAGAGTCTAGATTTTACTCAGAGATCAACAATTAGCTTTTGGGTTAGATGTTTCTAAGGTGTAGATAGTGTAGGCGTATATCAAGCGGCAGAGGCAAATGTCCAATAGCAAGGTTTGGCGCTGGGAAGCAGTTCCGCTTTCCACTTTCCGCTCCACCCCTTCGGATGTCCGCCCCAGGAACCAGGATGGATAGAATGGTTCTAGTGGGGCTAGCTCGGCGCATCTACAGATTCGTAATTCGCCCTGAACATCGTCGCGACTTGTAAAAAGAACGCTCTCTGCATACCTAAGGCAACCTCATAACACGTTGAACTCGGTCGCTCTCTCTGCTAGGTGCGGATTCTCATCGATAACGAGGAATGAATTGTCCGAGGGATTGTCAAAAGCAGGAGACAAAATGAGCGGCTCCGTCATTCTATGTACTGGTATGTATTGCTCTGTTCCCCTCTTACTTCTCTGCTAATAGCTCGCTGCAGCTGGCTACGATCACACCATCCGGTTAGTTAACCTGTAATGCGCGCGCGATGACTAGAAGCGCTGTCAATGCTCAATCTAACATATACTCCAGGTTCTGGGAAGCACTCTCAGGAATATGTTCGAGAACGATACCCCACCCCGACTCGCAAGTCAACCGTCTTTGTATTTCTCCCGATAAACGTTTCCTAGCTGCCGCTGGTCACCATACAATCAAGCTTTTTGACATCAAAGGCAGTAATCCAACTCCACTCACCATCTTTGAGGGACATACGAACAACATTACAGGTGTCGCATTCCATTGCGAAGGAAAATGGATGGTCACAAGCTCAGAAGATGGTACGGTCAAGATATGGGACACGAGAAGCGGCAACATACAACGGAACTATAGTCATGGGATTCCCGTCAACGATGTGGTTATCCACCCAAATCAAGGCGAACTCATTAGTTGTGATCGTGGTGGGAACGTTAGAGTATGGGATTTAGGCGAGAACAAGTGTAGCCACCAACTGATTCCTGAGGACGACGTCAGTGTGGCCAGTGTCACCGTCGCAAGCGATGGTTCTATCCTTTGCGCTGGGAACAACTCGGTATGAATCGGAACACACACAGAACTGCTAACACTAATCTGACCAGGGCAATGTTTACGTTTGGCGTATGATTTTAGAAGCGGATGTTACCACGCTCGTGCCCGTCACCCGCTTCACGGCACATCAAACATTTATCACCCGAGTCCTTCTCTCTCCTGACGTCCGGCATTTGGCAACCTGCTCTGCTGATCACACCTCTCGAATATGGTCTGTAGACACCACGGCCTCGAACAACGATCCGCTCAGCAGTGCCCCTGCGAGCTTTCCTCTTGAAACGACTCTGCACGGACACCAACGTTGGGTCTGGGATTGTGCATTCAGTGCCGATTCAGCGTACCTCGTAACCGCATGCTCGGATCATTATGCCCGCCTATGGGAGCTTAGTAGTCAGAGTATCATCAGGCAATACAATGGACACCATCGTGGTGCCGTCTGTGTGGCTTTGAATGACACTGCGCACCCCGGTTCATAGGGGCGATGGAAGATCGCATATTGGATATAGCAATAGCCATGCCTAAAGCGTTAGCACACGTTTACACCACGTCGGGTCCTTCGCATGAATACTCAACTTCTTAAAGAGGCTATCACTGTACAGCGCATATGCTCATCATACGAGTCCAGTATGGCGTTATAATGGTGTTTTAATGGTAATGTTTCAATATAGCCGGAAGCGAGGCTCCGACGACATCTGAGGGTTGGCGTTCATGCATGGATTAGGAGTTAATTATCAGGCCTCTGTATATATGTATTTACGTATTCCCTAGCGTCCTCAGTCTTCCGGCGATCATCAAGAATATCTTAGCCGTAGGACCTCATTAAAGCGATTCGTGGCATGGTATCAGAAGGAGAGTGCTCCTTTGCACGAAAATTCACAATGATTGATAGCCTGCAGAATAGAATCAGTATAAGGCTGCCGAGGATGGAATGGGATAGAACTAGCGATGAGAAAGAATGGCGTGCATATACGGCCGGCCATAAGCCTAATCAGGTCGCGTTTGGGGTCCAGGTGCACGGACGCTTGGACATCACAGAACCTCAAGTTCTCATCAGGGATCATAACGTGCTCGGTCGCCTACATTTTCTCAGGTACACACTTCAAACCTTGTCCATGGATCTTGCACACACGCAGTATTAACAAGACTTCTTCACAACGCACTGGGCTTATCGTAGCATAACGCCTTCACGAGGCGACGTCGCCGCTTTGGGCTGTCACCAAGAACTATCCACGTCAAAGACAAAGAGTCGCACTGGAGTCGACATTCGCTCAGAATCATCCTCGCACAAACAACCAGCGGTATGGCAACCCATACAGATGATATCGCTCAACAGCGATCCTCGGCTGGTTCAGCACGCGGTGGCCGTGACAGGCGCCCACAAACAGTCAGTTATTGTCTCGTCTCTCGCTCCTCGATGCGCGCGGAAATTACACAATACTGTTCGAGTTCATGCTGACGGATATATCCATCGCCATAGGTTCAGCAACAGCTTTCGAAGATCGAGAAAAGTGTCACACATCTCCTCGTCGCGACAAAGCAGCTACTCGAAACGTTGACGCAATGGTCACGAAACAATGCGACCGAGGGCGAGGTTTCAGATGTCTATGTGCGCCTTGGGTACGAGTTCAACATTGCGTCTAGAGCCTTCAATGAAATTGGAGTAGAGACTACAGACTTAGGAAATGTCCCAGAATCCTTAAGGGGAATACTAGAAGAGACACTGAGCCAAGAAGCGTCGCAAGCCAGCCTCGATCGCTACCTTCCGAAGATCCGAGATATCATAATCAACCTTTTACATGGTCTGAAGAAAAAGCAACAAAGATTACGACAAAGGAAGGGTATTGATGGTACGAATGGGACAGCAAGACAGGGGAGCGTGAGCAGCACAGGCGGTACGTTAGACTTGGACGAAGAGATCCCCCAGAGATCGTCAAGCAATCGACCGTCGGCATACAGGCAAGGCAGTGGTGACATGGGATTTACAAGCTCGGTCGACCCACCACCGCGAACAACATCTGCGCCCGGGCGCTCTTCACCCAACAAATATGAAAGCGTGCCGCCTAATTCCCGAACTAAGACAGCAAGCCGAGATACTGTCGCTTCGAATGACTCTTCCCTATCTAGCAACACCATGCAAAATATACCAGTCATCTCACCTTACCCAACTGAGGAACAGATGCCCGAACCTCCTAAGCCAACACCTCCTCCATACACAGACTTTCCTCCTCCTCCGCCTCCACCACCAAAACAACAAGATGCACTGGCAGCTCTGCAGCGTGGTGGGGATCTTGAGCGACGAGCTTCTAGGAGATTTTCTGCATACCAACTGCAGAAGCTCGTTGGCACTAATGGCATACCGATGATGCCTTCGTCGCAAAATACGCCAATACCGAACAGGGGACGGGATGCACGTGAATCAATGCACGCTGTACGCACCCGCGGATCTGTGATGGCACGTCGTGATAAGTCGACGAGGATGCCACAGCTGGAAACATCGAGCCGAGTCAATGATGTCTCGCAGCAGATTAAGGAAGAAGAGCCAAATGGCATATCCCACCCCGTGATGGAAGCTCCTAACGAACTACAGCCAGCTTCAAGCCCTATCGCCAAGACTCCAGAAGACAAACTGGGTCCAAGCATGGGTAACTTTGAGAAGGAGAGTGCAGAGCTTGGGGCGACACTTTCTGGTCCTATTCTGGAACCCGTGGACTTGGCAATGTTGCCTGAAAAGAAACCTTCAATTCAGAGGCGATCTCAGCTGCCTTCCATGTTCAACTCGCGCAAGAAATCACCGTCCCCACCGCATACCACCGAGTTTATCCCGGAAGGTTCGCCGCAACCTGGAAAAGAATTGACGCTGTTCTTACAATACAAGAGCAGAGTGAAGAAATTCGTGTTTTCAGATGGCGCCGATGTGTCGATACCACGGCTACAGCTTGCTTTCATCGAGAAGTTTGCGTGGAACACCCACAACAATGGCGTTGATTTGCCGGAAATCCACATTCAAGATCCCGTATCAGGGGTGCGGTACGAGCTTGAAGATCTGAGCGATATCAAGGATCGTGCAGTCCTTGTCCTCAATGTCGAGGTACTAGACGAGGTTAAAAAACACATAGACGACGGACTTGGAGGCCTAACAAAACTTGTGGAAGGAATCAAAGCAACAGTGGACGAACAGCAAGCCGCTCTACAACGAGTGTCCGCGCGCCAGGTAGACACCGCCAAGGAAATCGCCAGCATTGCTGCAGTTCCTCCGGGACTTACTTCTGGTCGAGGTTCCATGCTCACTACGCCAATCTCGCCCCAACCTGGAGCAGTCGTTGCTGAATTGTCAATTGACGCCGCGGCTCAGCTGGGAGAAGTTGCGTCCCTACGCCGGGACCTTGCGGTTGTGCGGCAGACGTACACTTCATTTGTGACCGATGTCGAATCATCAATGGCTAACGTCCGTGCCAAAGCCGCTACCGTCAAGTCGACAGCAATCAAAGCTGCTGTGCCCACGCTTGAGGGAGACACAGGCCGTTCATACGTCAATGCGGGCAAGAAGACGCTTAGCGACGACTCTGAGAAGATCGTCAACCGCGTCGATGACCTCCAGGACCTTGTGGAAGATCTCAGGAAAGATGTCGTGTCACGTGGAGTCAGACCCAAGCCCCGCCAGCTGGAAATTGTCGCAAAGGATATTCAGATCGCCACATCAGAGGTAAAGAAGCTCCAAGACTATCTACGCAAGGAGAAACCTATCTGGACCAAGATCTGGGAACGAGAACTGCAAGTCGTGTGCGATGAAAGAGAATTGTTGTCTATGCAAGAAGACCTTGCCGCTGACCTCCAGGATGATTTGGATAAGGCAGCAGAAACATTCCAACTTGTTGAAGAGGCAACCAAACAACAAAATCTTCCCGGAGCTAATCGATCTGCTTCAGGCACTACTCGGGGCAACGCCAATCGCCTTGCCCTTACAATGGACCAAGCTGTCGATCCACGCAAGGCAAAGGACAACTTCTTAGGCGAGGTTCGTGCCCTCCAACCGAACCATGAAGGTCGACTCGAGGCTATACACCGTGCCGAGAGAGTCCGTCAAAAAGAATTAGAGAGTCGCCGAGGTGGAGAGTTTGGTCGGGAACTGGCAAGCTTTGTCGACGAGGGGAAGTTGAAGAAGAGCGGAGGCGTTGAGGAAGTCGAACGGTTGCGGAAATTAAGAGACGAGCAGAATATCAAAGCTAATCTAGAGGCTGCCCAGCAAAGAGCAGCCGCCGTGGCCGAAAGACAACGAGAAAGGGCCGCCGCCGCTGCTGCTGCCACCACAGATGATGCCGTAGAGAAGCAAGATGTCACGACCCCTGAAGCCGAATTTGCGGATGCAAATGAAGATTCTAAGGAGTCTGGTGGTGAGATTACATCCTGAATGCATGGATCTCCCTCGATCAGGTCCTATTATTGAGCAGATCGCGACCAACCCTTGATTCGAATCGCCCTCTCAGCTCAAATGATTGTTGTATGCTGCAGCAAGAAAACTGACATTGAGCTTAGCAATCGGACACGCGCCCCGCACGAGATCCGTGGAGATCGACGAGCTCATACGCGCCTTTGAAGTGAACGAGATGCGCAGCCCGTCGCTGGCGTTTAGTTTGCCAAGCATAATCCCCATCTCACGCGAGCCGGCTTCCCGGCTCACGTCATCCTTGACAGACGTCGCGGCTCTCAAGCCCATCTTGACGACAGATGCAAATGTGCTAGATTGCTACGCTCCATCTTACTCACCCTCGTCCCCAAAGACGCCAGGGAAGGCTTTAGGGAACTGGCTCCCTCCGTTTCTGGCAAGGACTTAACGACGTATGACTGTTCCCACGTCGACAACAGACGGCAATGAGCACTTCTGCTGGCACTGTATAGAGTGGATGCTGCCCCTTTCAAGAGTTGTACAGTATATTTGTGCCTCCCGCTCTTCAATTTCTATGACTCTCTGTTGTTTGCGCAAGTGTGGACTCATCGATTTACACACATGACTAGGAAATGGATTTAGGGCATTACACGGAGTTGGTGTCTTCGGTATATATCTCCAGCCTCCTTCAGTTCACTTAATAGTCAGAAGTATCCATATATCATTCATGCAGATGCCTTTATGACCTTCCAATTGTCTCACAGTTTTAAATCTAGTCGAGAAACATACGATTACATCTAATATCCCAACACTCGAGCACGTTTGACCCCGTGAATCGAGATCTATACACACGGTGACATCGCTAAAACGTGAAAGCTCTACAGTGTTGGTGATCAAGGCGATTCACGTAGTACAAGAGCTGCTGAGTTCGACTCGATTAAACGACCGTTATAACATTGGACTCGGTTTAGTTCGAACAGGGATCTGCTGGATATGTTGCCATTGAGGCTGTGTGTCTCGGTGTTGAACACCTTGTACCGAACTCACAGTCTTCACTTTTTTGTGCCAAGGTATTGGGCTTGGGTGGGATTAGCATGGGCAAGTGCTGTCCACGCTGTTCTATACTACCTTACCACGTTTCCTGCAGACCTCGCTTGCCAGCCTGAAAAACTTATATAGTCCTTCCACGTTCAGAAGGGACGTCATCTCCCACGTTTCTCGACATCTTCGTTCCAGCTCTTGATTGTATTCCAACTCCAGATCAGACCATTCTGGCTGGTCGCAACTTCGGTCTGGCCGTTAACTCTTCGCAAGATCAACCATGAACGCATCTCACGATGCGAACCATGGATTTTATGATGAGGAGTCACCATGGACTACACGATTTCAGTTCCTTCATCTTCATTCCTCAGGTCAGGAGTCTGTGGCAGCTGGACCGTTGTGCCAACAACAACAACAGCAGCAGCAGCCAATCTTTCATACCTATCAAACACCCTCACCGGCTCCAAACTACTTGCCAATGTACTATGAGGACCCACCGACAACTGCAACATTCTCAAGTGTGCAGTCTGGAGGTCCCCAACATCCCCTTAAAAGACAGTCGGTTCAGCAATCAAAGCAACAACCAGCATCAGCAAAAAAACGTCTGAGCCGGACTACAGTCCCGTCGAGGACAGACCGAGTGTCCAAGGCTTGCGTGCCATGCAATCAACGCCATGTCAAATGCAGTGGCGGCGAAGTCTGCACTCGATGTCGCTCTTACCCGGAGGAACAATGGCCAGAATGTGTCTATCTAGTCTCGAAACGAGGCGGACATAACAAGGGCTCTATACAAGCAATCATTGCAAGAGCAAAGACTGAGGCTGCTGAAGCTGTTGCAAAAAAGCGTAAAAGAGCAATTGCACAGACGTTTGACCCTGTCTCAACACAAAACTCATCTACCAGCTTTGCCAAAGATGAAACATCTACCCTATTCTCACCACTGAGCTCCGGTGTCGCTCTACATTCCGACAACGATGCTCTCAAGGATGAAGGGCGCGATCTGCTCGCTTTGTACTATGCAAATTTTCATAAAGCACATCCTTATACTCTCCCAATGGATGCGCTGAAGAGTCGAATTCAAAAACATCCAAATACGGTCAAGCATCTCATTCCCGTGCTGGAATACATCGGCTCCTTCTACTCCAAGATCTATGATACTTTAGCCTTGAAGGACATTGCCATTGTCAGATTGTCCGCTAATTCGTGCCCACGCGATGGCTTCTACGTCCAAGCGAACCTACTGATGGCAATCGCAATCCACTCGACTGATGACTTCAACGGCTCTGAAGACACAATCGGTGCGGCTATTGGTGTGGCTCTTAGACTAGGTATGGACAAAAAAGACTATGCCACCGTCAACGGTGAAAGAGACCATGTGCTTGAGGAGTGTTGGAGAAGAACGTTCTGGGGCCTTTACATCACGGAGTCGATATTTGCTGGGGTACACAAGCTTCCATCGTTCAGTCTTTCTTATACTGACAAGGATGTTGATCTACCTGGAGAGGAGTCGGACTATGGTGGAGAGGCATGCTGTCCCCTTCGGCAACTTTCATTGACTGTACTGACCATCAATCAGGTCGTCTTCAAAACTCGAACGCGCGAAGAGTATGTCGCCCGTGCATATGCTCCTTGTAGTCGACCTTTCTCCTCTATGGCTTTCCTTATCGATGTAGCCGTGATTAGTAAAGATATCCTTCCAATCATATCAGACAAGTTTCCAGTTCCTTCAGAGAAGGTTGACGAAGCGAATCGCAAGCTTGAGGTCTGGCAAGCTTTTGCACATGGCAAGAAAGAGGAGATCATATCAATCCAAGGTGAAGTCGACGAAGTGATGTGGCACGCCAACATGCTCATAGATACGTACGTTGAAAGAACTCTGTCGTCTATCATTACCACAGTCACATTTACTCAAGAAAAATGCAGATCAACATAGCTAATCTATGCTTTAGTCTCACCATCGCCTTGAATCGCCCAAGATCATTCCTTCTCTATAAAGAGATTGAAGGTACCTCTAGGTGCTCTCCTATTCCGGATGTTGGTAGAATCTCCGAAGCGCGTAGGCTGTTCCTCACGAACAATACTGTTAGAGCCCGACAAGCAAGCGAACGTATGCTAGAACAGCTCACTATAGGTACAAACCACCGAAAACACAGCCCTCTGTTGATATGTGGAATGTCTATGGGCATTATGGCACATGTTAGTGCCTGCAATACTGCTGGAGTGCTCCCTCATCCAACGAAACGCGAAGCCGCTGAAGAACAGATTACTCTTGGTCTTGCATCACTCCAAGACTGGGCTATGATCTGGAGCCTTGGGAAGCGAGTATGGAGTGAAGTCCGGAACGTCACACATAGCCTCATGAGTAACCCTGCAGAACCTCTCGCCACTGGTTACTCTCAAGCAGAACCATCGCTTCCTACTGCGCAAGTCCTAACCGTGGGATATGGTCCTCTCGCTCGCAATCACTCACCTCCATATGATTACGGTGCTTCACCCAATGGCCAAGCGCATACTAAAAGTCCATCTGCGGAAGTCATTGGCAATATACCGTCGCAAGACTGTTATCTCAATGTGCCAGTCACTGAAGTGGGGATTGGTCTCGGTATTGGTACGGGACAAAACATCGCAATGGCAGATAGCATAGACTATTGTCACAGGATGCATGACTCCGTATACGATCCAGTTCGACCGCTATCAGAGTCTGGCTCGAGCTTTGGCTCCGTCGTAAATATGTCTAAATCAGGTGCAGGCTCGCACTCCAGCATTGGTAATGGCTCGATTTCGACTGCAGCCTCAAGTATTGGTGCCGACTCTGATCGTCCGATCAGTGTCGAAGACAATTCATTCTTGACCGATTATCACTCTTGTCTATTGCAGGAAGCTGGTTCTCACATGGATCAAAACTAACCATCTGGAAGATACAATGTTCCTACGACCAAAGTTGTTATACAGCGTTACATGCACAATATACGCAGGGCTCCAATTTGTAACAGCATCTCGTTGATGTAACGTAGACCTGAAGCTACATCGCAAGAAGACAAGAGAAGTCAATGGTATCGAAAATACTTGGTTGTGATGATGAACGGCAGAGTGTATGCCATCTGTGATCCTAGCATTCTTCAAGTCTATATTGTTCTTGTCGTTTGCAGTGTATAAATATCCTCTGGGATATAGAACAGCCTTGAACATGTACATGAGGTCGATAGAATCAACAATTAGCATTGTGCCAAGACTTATTCACTGGCATATTCTAGACGTGCATGTCTTGTCATATCTGACAGGTTTACACAGCGCAGAAAGCACCTTAATATCCACGAAAATACTGGTCACTGACGTTGTTTCTTCCCATATTAAATAAAATTACAAACAAGCTTCTAGCTCCATCAATCAAGAATGTGAAAAAGTTCTGAGTGGGCTCTAATCTTTTGCCCCTGACCATACTCAGCTCATCCACCTTGCAGAGCGTTTCTTTTCTCCCTTTCTTGTTCCCTCTCCCTCTGGCCCAGCACAGACCTTTGAGTAACCACAGTACTCTCTAAAACTCCTTGCCCTACATTGATTGATACAGCACAAAGACATTGCTCTAATTCTCCAGGGTATCATTGAATGACCTTGTCCTTAAATCCTACAAGTATATTTCCTGTTCACCACAGTAGAGCGCATGAGCGTATGACATCATAGACATCACCAGGACATGTCTAAAGAGCATTGCAAGATGTATGCTACAATTTAGCCTTGCTTCACAGATGACATGCCTGGCCTTTGCCCATTAAGTCTGTCGCTCACATGGCACAGCGAAAACCAAAATCATGCTGAATAGCTTTGTTCTAAAAGTGGTATAAAATACTTCAATGGATTTCAGGTTGCATGGGGTGCTCAGGGACGATCTCAATTTAAGATTTTCATTTAGTCTCCACACAGCTCTTTCACCTAATATCTTACATTGATACAAGCTTGTCAAGCTAGGTTGTATGATGTGGCGAGGTAGCACACACAGTTGCATCCTCGGTGCTCCGTTTCTATGAAAACCCAGGAAACTTCGTTGTGCAGCCTCGGCCCACCGGAATGCGGGTAGCTACTATATTCAATATTTACTCATGGCGACGTAGCTCTCCGGAAAGGAGAGGCAGAAGCTAAAGTATTGAGATCAGGGGAGGAACGTAGTCTCTTGATGTACATGGACTTGACAGAGCTGATACTGATACTGAGTGAGTGCATCATGAAGTAACAAAGAGAGGAAGTGCGAATGACGGGGTTTCGATGGTACATACACTCCTTGTCCTTCCGTACACAATGTAGAATACTTTCTAGACTCGTAGAAACTCTGCCTCTGTGCTTGAAATAGGTCGACGTAGAGTGGAGCGCTCGTTAGCGGGTAACACCACAGGGAAGACTTCAAGCGGAGTCAGGTTTGAAACAAAAAGTCCAAATCGGTGTATAGTGTTTTGCTATGCTTAAAATCCGCCCATAATTTCATAATTGGTAGAATATAATCGAGAGTACCTGATAGTACTCTCATCACCCATATGCTAGTGCCTGTCTAAATCATCACTTCTTGCCTTCGGCAGCCCTCTTGGCATCAGCTGAATCCTAGTGTTAGTTCCGCACATGCGAAAAAGTCTGACAGCATACCTGCAGCTTGCTTCTTGCGCATGATCTCAGCGGCATCCTCTTTGGCTTTCTGCTGTTGGGTGCCGGACATCTGGTGCGGGTATCAATACAAATGATCACGATGCTGCTCCGGACGAACTCGCTGCGTACAGTGTTGGCGGATTTCTACAAGAGCTTTAGTCATTCATTCTTTGTGATTGCAATCACAGAGATGTTTCGACGATAGAAGCGGATATTGTTGGCGAGATCGCTATGATATGCGCCGTATCAAACGAGTTAAGCGCTTATAAAGTTTTGTAGACGTACCTTGCCTTGCTGTTCTTTGAGATTCTTCTCGCGAGCCTTGTCACGCTGGTTTCCGCGAGCCATGGTGTACAGTACAAGCGTAAATGTATTACTAACTCAGGCGTATCTCAGCCGTCGCTTTGAAGATGTCTGCAATTTTCGGAAAGGGGAAGAGCACAAAAAATGAAAGGTGGCTGATGGAAGAATGTCAGGATAACTTGCATGCGATAATCGCGCGGCTGGTCCCAAAAGACTGCTCTCTAAGGAGCACTCTTGGATGATTGGCTTCGTATTAATTAGGGCTCCCTTCATCACGCTTTCAAGCATTCACTATCTATCTATAGAATCCTGATCGTGACTTTTTCTTCTATTCAATGCGACAGTAACTCACCTTGACTAACTGCAGTGCGATTGCCGTACCTGACGCATGAATTATGTTCACTCGTTTGATCGTGATATGCCGCACTTTGTGTGTGACACGCGCTGAGAGCACATGGAGGATGGATGCGATAGCGACAAGAAAGCCGGGGTAGAAAACATCCACTTTCTCCACCAACGCATCAACGTTATCTACATGTAGACGTTAATTAGGACAGTAGTGCGGTGCGTGAGAATGATACGACGCACCATGAACCGCGCGCTTTCAGCTTTTCAATCGCTTCCAATACATTCCATCTCCACAATGAATTTGGAAATGGACATCGTCATATCATCAGTCGGTCAGTGTAACATAATAGTAACAGTGTCCAACGGTTCCTCGCCATAACCGCCGACAAGTAGAATGAGCCTGGTCTACAACAACGCGACCGGGTCGCGCCAGGCCAAGCGTTGTGCATTCTGAAACACAACCGCCGTGCTCTGCCAATCGTTTTACCATCACCGTCCACTGGGCACCAATCATCCCACGTCGAACCTTAGAGTCATAGACTGGCCAGCGGAGACCTTGAAGACCTTAGACTCATATCTCTGAAGCCCCATACGCGGTGTACTCTGTGCTAGTATCGTCGCCAGCCGCTTGCCATACATTTTAGTCAAACTTCAGACCATTCCTGTCGTTTCAGATCCCAGATTAGACATGGGAATGCTCATATCGAGAGTTGATAACCAGTCGATGGCCTAACTATCGTATGCACGTATGCTACATGACAGTGCACGACTTCCGGCATCACCGTACAAGTGAAATCGCTGCTGGCTACTACAAGTGAAGATCTGCTGCTGTTCACTTTGGCTTCGTATTCTTCGTCCCTCATCATTAGTTTCGCTTCATCTATTGTGTTCTGCCTCTATTCAGAGAGCGAGGTTATCCTTCGCCTTCCTGGCCTGGAACTTTTTGTCTTTAACTCTTTTCCCCATCATCTACTGTCTGTCTCTAGAGCTGGCTCATATCACATCTTCACCTATTAAGTATCTTTTTCTGCTGGTCGGTCCTCGAAAACTATTATTTTATACCTTGATATTACAATATCGTCAATATCTGTGAGGATGCCTCTATCCGCGCAAAAACTGGCCGGTCCAGGCTACATCATCCTCAATGTCCTCCGCATTATGAATATCATATCCCTCCTCTCCGTCATCGCAGGAAGCATGGTCATGCTCGTGAAGACCATTATTGTGTCCAAGGTATGTCCCCTAATCTCAAAACCTCACATCAGCATATAATATTAAGCGTATATCAGTTCTTCTTCTTCGACGCCGCCACAAACCTCATCACATCTCTTGTCAGCATGTTCCTTATTGTCTCCGAGCTATCCCTCTTCGCTGGCTACTTCGCCCGCAACTGGCCTATTTTATCCCCAACACACGGCTTTGTCTCTCTCGGTCTGGCCATGATGATCCTTGGCATCAATATGCTTGGTAATCTCAACAAAGAGGCCACCTCTCAAGCCTCCCTTGGCCTGGCATTCTGGCGCATCGTCATCGCCTCCGGCATTCTTGTCTTTGTCCTTGGCATCTTCAACATCATCGCTTCCTTCGTCTTCCGCAACAAGAATACGGGCATAACGGCGAGGAACGTACGTGCCCATGGCGCAATTGCTACTCCGACGCCCGTCACGAATCAGAAGCAATTGAGCATCAATACCTCCCTACCCCCGCCAGTCACAATGTCGCCATCTCTGTATTCGTCGTATAAGGAACCCTCGAACCACGATAACGACACATCTTCCCGCTGGCCGCGCTCTCCACTCCGCGCTCTCACACCTATCCGCAACACATTCCGCCGTGCAAGAGACAGCATCTTGCCCAGCTACTATAGCAAAACCCCCGTCACAACTTCTCCTACACGTGGGCAACCGAATCACTGGGCTGGTGCGAGACGAGAGAGTGTTGGTCCGCGCATGCCGTTGAATATCTCTGGGCCTCTGAATGTGGACACGCGGTTTGCCCATCTGATTAAGCCAGATTTGGCCCATCATCCAGCGAGGAAGGAGGGAAAGGAGGGGGATATGGGCGAGGCTTTCTAGGGGAGGTTCTGACGTGGTGAGCTTCCAGCATATACTGATTGGGCAGGAAGAGGGAGTGGTATAGACGGGTTTCTTTTGTCGTATACCATGGACGGTGCCTGGCGTTGACGGATGGGGTTTGATTACAGGCGTTTCTGTGGATGTGGCGATATGTGTATCTATACCAGTCATTCCTTGTGGCAACTCTACGGACATTGCTGAATGAAATATGAATATTTCATGCCCTCTTTTCTCGTCGTGAATGGTTGTCGCATCCTAAAAGGACTGGTCTATCGTCTAATATAGACCTTTGCATTGTGCTTCCGCAGGTCTCAATCCACACCGAAATATGCCATAGCCCAGTAGTAAATCTGTATGCAGTGATCGTGACGATCGTATACTCTTGTACTTTCGAACCCATACGCCCTAAGCCTCGCCTTCTGGCTTCTTTCCCTTTCCCCGCCGCGGCATCTTCTCGTAAGCATTTGGACTCCTCCGCCGTGCCTTCTTTGCCTTATTGTTCCTTACACTAGATCCACCCGGTGTACCATTATCGTCTCCACACTCATCGTCGTGGTTGTGGTTGTGATCATGACTATGTGGTCTTCTCGCGGACGGCCTTCCCGCTGGGCGCGCACGCGATGTATCAGGTTCGCTGTCGGAATCACTCTCATCAGAGCTGGAGCTGGAGTCTGATTCGGAGGAAGATTCACCCACAGCACGTGGGGCGTGATATATACAGCATACTGAAGGATGTGTTAGCTATCTAGTGTTTGGATCCTTGTATGGGACAGGGGATAGAGAATGGGGTCCGGAAGAGTCATAGTTGATGCGGCATGCTCATTTGTACGTCTTGGAGATATACTGTCGGGGCATACCTTTACTGCTCTTCTTGCCCATGCCCTCGTTGTCGATCACGTCCTCAGCCCATTGGATATGTCTGTCATTTGCTGCTGTGGCACGTAGGCGTAGTGTATTACTGGGGATTGTGACCGGGTGTGAGCTTGTTGCGGGTGTGGTTTCGACTTGGGCGGGTGTGCCCGGGCGAGATGAGGAGTTGATGGTACGCGTGTGGGTTGAGTGGGAAGTCATGGCTCGCGATTGTTGATATGACACGTCAAACAGAAGTGTAACTGCTAGATGTGAGACTGATGATCGAGGGGTTTCTGCGGATATAGAGAATGTGTTCTTTGTCGCTGTCGCTGCGATCGCGACGACGATGTATTCAAAGGGAGAAGTTATGCTATCGATGCTATCATAGAAGTTGAGGATCGTGGCGCGGGGAAGCAATGGAAGGCTCACTAGGATCCTAGCCTAAGTAGTGGAGAACGTTTGTCGTTTCAGAAGTGTGGCGTATTAGATGAGTGGATGCTAGAGTGTTCTGGTACTATCAATGCAACTCTTCCTAGGCAGCCTGTAATTTCCTTCGCTGTAACATTATTGTAACGCTCGTTATCAACATCACTATATCATGACACTGCATCTGAGGGAGCGACATCTCTCTGACTGATGCCGCTGAAAACGTACAAAAGCAGTAACTGGCTTTCAATGCAAGATTAGGGTGTTAATGCAAGAGGAAAGGCTTGTTCTGATCAGGATAGGAAATCTAATTCAAGGCTTATCTTGATAAATAATGTAGAGATATACATCCGTGAATGAGAGCAACAGAGATGTGTTGGTATGTCTTTGCCTTAGCTGCCATGCATAGCGGAGAAAGAGTCCAAGCGCCGCCTGCTCATTACACGTCCCCCGCCAAAGCTCTATCTCTTTTCACCACCCTCACACACGCCATACCTCTCTTTCTTACAGACTTTAGCTCTACAGCCTCAATATATCCCCGATTCGTGTCGCTGTCCCTTTCCGTGTCGATTATTCCCTTTCCTCTTGCCTGTATCCCTTCGTGCTTGTCACAGTACCCCGCTGTAACGGTCAAGCTCGGGTTGACGAGGCTTCGCAAAGCCAGCTGGCGCATCTTCAGACACGCGCCCAACGAAGCTCTGGTGCTCTCTATGCATATGATCTGAGTACTCAACGACAGTTCGAGACCATATTGAACTCAAGACTCTTCGTTCCGGACATCGTCATCCCACGCCCATCTTCTCAAGATGTCTATGTCGATCAGCGAGCTAGACGCGACTGTTCGAACATTCTATGAAGGTCGAGGCGAAGCTGTATGTATCAAACCGCTAGTCTGGAGGCAAGTGAGATGTGCTGACATCTGTATCAAAGCAAAAACAAGCACAGACTACCCTGAACCAGGTATGGTCACTTGGTCTATCCTGATTTTCTCTTCCACTTCTAACGTAAATCAGTTCAAGGAGAACCCCGATGCCTGGCTCTTGGTCGACAAGATTCTGTCAGAGGCGCAATATGAGCAGACTAAATGTGAGAGTTTCAAAAGGTTGGGTGGATTACGTACTGACCAGCTTCAGTTCTGGGTCTGCAGGTCTTAGACAGTGTGGTTATGACAAGATGGAAGGTTTTGCCTCGAGATCAGTGTCACGGTGTGAATTTTCCTTCTATACCCATCATATACGTTATCTAATCGAGGGTACCAGGAATCCGAAACTTCGTTGTCAACTTCATCATTACAGCCTCGACCTCTGAAGAGAGCCTCCGCCGCCAGCGAACCTTCGTCAACAAACTCAATCTCGTTCTCGTATCTATCTTGAAGCAGGAATGGCCTCACAACTGGCCTACATTTATCAACGAGATCATCTCCGCATCACATAGCAGCATTCCGATCTGCGAAAACAATATGGCCATTTTGCGTCTGCTGTCGGAAGAAGTATTTGACTTCTCCGCTGACCAAATGACATCTCAAAAGACCAAAGAGTTGAAGCAAAGCATGGCAGATGAGTTTACATCAATCTATACTCTCTGTTCAGAGGTCCTGCAGACAGCTTCGCAAGCCAGTCTAATTAGAGCGACCCTGGAGACCCTTCTTCGATTCTTGAACTGGATCCCGTTGGGCTATATCTTCGAGACACCGGCGAGTGGTTTCAGCCTTATCGAGACGCTGCGAAGTCGTTTTCTAGACGTGCCTGAGTTCCGGAACATCACACTCAAGTGCTTAACGGAAATAGCAGGGTTGCACACGGAACCCGCTTACGATGAGAAACTCGTCAACATGTTTACAGAAACTTTGACTGCCATCTCGTCGATCATACCACTGGCGATGGACCTAAAGAGTACATACGCTGGTAGTAGTAGTCGTGACCAGGAATTTGTGCAGAATCTGGCCTTGTTCCTGTGCAACTTCTTCTCCATGCACTTAAATGCCATCGAGAATATTCCGAATCAAGACTTTCTCCGCCACGGTCACTTCTACCTAATCAGGATTAGTCAGATTGAAGACCGCGAAATATTCAAGATCTGCCTAGAGTACTGGACAAAGCTGGTCTCTGAACTCTTTGACGAGATGCAGCAACTGCCAATATCTGATATAAATCCCCTTATAACTATGGGTATCAACGGTAGCGCAAGCCAGGCCAGTATGATGGCTAATTATCCTCTTCGCAAGCACAAATACGCTGAAGTTCTCACGAATCTCCGCCAGGTGATGATAGAAAAGATGGTCAGACCTGAAGAAGTGCTCATCGTGGAGAACGATGAAGGCGAGATCGTTCGCGAGTTTGTGAAAGAAAGTGACACCATTCAATTATACAAATCGACGAGGGAGTGTTTGGTGTTCCTTACCCATCTGGATGTTGCGGATACTGAGACCATTATGTCTGACAAGCTCGCGCGCCAAGTTGACGGTACCGAATGGTCATGGGCCAATTGCAACACGCTTTGCTGGGCAATCGGCTCTATATCAGGCGCGATGAACGAGGATACTGAGAAACGTTTCTTAGTCACCGTAATCAAAGACTTACTCGGCCTGACGGAGATGAAGCGCGGCAAAGACAACAAAGCTGTAGTTGCCAGCAACATCATGTACATCGTCGGTCAGTATCCTCGATTTCTCAAGGCTCACTGGAAGTTCTTGAAGACTGTCGTTAATAAGCTTTTCGAATTCATGCATGAGACCCATGAAGGAGTCCAGGATATGGCATGCGACACCTTCATTAAGATCGCAAACAAATGCAGAAGACACTTCGTCGTACAGCAGGCTGGAGAGCAAGAAGCTTTCATCGACGAGATCGTTCGCAGCCTGCAGAAGATCACATGCGACTTGTCACCGCAGCAAGTTCACACGTTCTACGAGGCCTGTGGCTTCATGATCAGCGCCCAAGGCCAGAAACCTCAACAAGAGAGATTGATCAGCGATCTGATGGCTCTCCCGAACCAAGCTTGGGATTCTATTATCAAGGCTGCCAATGCCGATCCTAGCATTCTACAGGATGCAGATACCATCAAGATAATCGGAAACATCATGAAAACTAATGTAGCTGCTTGTAGCTCTATCGGTAGTTATTTCTACCCACAGATTGGTCGGATCTACCTCGATATGCTCACCATGTATCGCGCCAGCAGTAGCCTGATAGATGAGGCAGTTCAAAGGGATGGCAACATCGCAACGAAAATGCCGAAGGTTCGCGGGCTGCGTACTATCAAAAAGGAAATCTTGAAATTGATCAACATTTACGTTGAGAAGGCCGATGATCTCGAGATGGTTCACCAGAGCCTGGTACCACAACTGCTCGAGGCTGTTCTTCTAGACTACAAGCGAAACGTTCCTGACGCGCGCGAAGCCGAGGTCTTGAATGTCATGACTACTATCATCAACAAACTACATGTACGTTGGAAACCCACTCTTGGCAAATTCATGCAGGAGTCTATGGTTCGGCTAGCAGCCGCATGTGGTTGAGTGACCTGCTAACTGTTCCACAGAGTTTGATGGAAGACCAAATTATGAACATTATGGACTCTGTATTTGAATGCACGCTCGACATGATCAATAAGGACTTCTCCGAATACCCTGAGCACCGTGTGGAGTTCTTCAAACTTCTCAGGACTATCAACCTACGCTGCTTCCCATCTTTGCTAAAGCTCGATGCACGATCTTTCAAATTTGTCATCGATGCTTGCATGTGGGCTAGTAAGCATGATAATCGTGAGGTCGAGAATGCAGGATTGAGCATGTGCTTCGAATTGATCACCAACATGTCAGACACGGATGTCAACACCTGCAATACTTTCTTTCAGAATTTCTACACCGTTCTCCTCCAAGATGTTTTCTTCGTTGTCACGGATAGTGATCATAAGGCTGGTTTCAAGTCACAGTCGATGCTACTTGCCAAACTTTTCTGGCTTGTCGATTCAGGAAAGCTTCAAGGACCAATATACACTCAAGAGATGGCACCAGCCGGCACATCAAACAGAGACTTCCTTAGACAATTTGTCGGAAGTCTATTGACCAACGCGTTCCCGAATCTTAAGACGTGAGTTGAGTGAGTTCAAACCTCCACGCCCCGCTAATCTTGCAACAGGCCACAAATCACATCCTTCATTGACGGCCTATTTGGATCGAACAATGATATCAATCGCTTCAAGCTCATTCTACGTGACTTCCTTATCTCGCTGAAAGAGTTCTCTGGCGACAATGCGGAGTTGTACAGTGAAGAGCGAGAGCAAGCAGCAGCTAAGGCAAAGGCCGATGAGCGAGAACGGGCGATGAAGGTTGGCGGTCTCATTAAACCATCGGATATGGACGATGATGAGCTATGACAATGCAAAGACTTGCCACTTGATCTTGCGGTGAGAACGCCGTGGGACCAACCAATCTTCCGTGGTCTCTCCGATGATGTTGAAGGCTCCAGAGAAGGGGAACATTCAAATCTTGATGGGTGGGGGGTTTATGGCCTGTAAAGCCATATGAGCTGACGATGGAAAGAAACAAACTCGAATCATATCCGTAAGCTTTCAAGAAAAGGGTTCTTGCTGGCACTACTATAATGTTTTGGGCCGCAGGCTACGACGTCACTCCAGTTTTCAAAAAAAAAATAGCACAACGGAGTTGCGTACAAAACTATAGGGTATGCTCGGCGAAGTTTCCGATACATATCGCACGCATGCTTGGTCTTTATTTTAGCATTTGGGAGTTGCATAGAGCTCGTCATGTAGTGTAAACAGCCCACTTGTTGTTTCCCTCGACACTTCATTAGGTATACAATCTTATCTTAAAACTGCCGATGCATCGCCGAGCAGCGATGTCACGTGCTATCATATGCTACAAATCGTGATCCTCGCACATGTCTAAATGCTCTCGTTCTATTGGTCTCCGTAATACAGCCGTACCAAGATCATGTTTCCTTACCTTTGTTAATTAACGCGGGCGACTGCTGACGTTGCGAGGAAGGTACTAAGACGAGGGGTATTAGCAGCAGACCTTGCGCCGTCCCGGTCGTGGTCGAGCCACCTTTGAGATTGGTCACAGACTCGACGCGCTCTAAACTTGACCCTTCGCAGACTTTGAATCTGAGCTGTATTCTCTGCATATGCATGCGCTGAGGACGTATTAGCCCTCTTTGATCTCCGCCGAGTTTAGTTTATACACATTGGAAGAAACTAAAGTCAGGAATAGTACTTACCCGTCCTCGTGGTCACCAAACGACCAAACCAATCTTGCGGGAAACATTCAAATATCCTCTAAGGGCAAGTCGTGAATTTGCCCTTCACCCCGACGCCTCTCTCTTCTACATCTACCGCTGCCTTCGTTCTTTGCTTCTGCATTAATGAGGCTTGGAAGTCAGTGATTATTCAAGTCATTGGGAGGCCAATCCGCCTTCCCAGCGCTCCCTCGCAAAATGTATGTCCTATTCCATATATTTCCTCAGCCGTCTTGTTTATGCTCCATGACTTTTCTGCTGCAAAATCCAGCTTTCTTTTATGACTGATGAGTACTTCCCCACTAGGAAGTTCGGCAAGCATATCCAGAAGCGGCAGCTGGACATACCAGAATACGCTGCGAGCTTTGTCGACTATAAGGCATTAAAGAAGGTCAGCTCGTGATGCCTTGATTACTATGAAACTCGCAATTGACTTGTACTGTCAGCTCATCAAAAAGTTGAGTGCTACACCGATCATCCAGCCCCAACATGAGTCGATTGCAACACCAGAGATACTCGATGCACAGGCGTCTTTGCAAGCAAACAAGGCAACGTTCTTCTTCCGTCTAGTTAGTCCCCCACTCCACAGCTGCAATTTGATTTTGAACTTTCATTTTAGGAGCGTGAGCTTGAGAAGGTCAACAAGTTTTATCTACAAAAGGAAGCTGAGGTGGGTTATAAGTTGCATCTATAGCTATAAACGTTCGTCTAACGATGGAGCACAGCTCAAGTTGCGATTGACAACTTTATTGGATAAGAAGACATCCATGCAGTCTCGGCCTGCCCCAGTCAAAGTCTCCTCGAAATTTATTTCCCTTGAAGAAGGTTTCAAGCAGTTCAGTGGTGATTTGAATAAGCTCCAGGTTAGAATTAGCACGCACTAACAACGTTATCTATCGCTGACTATGTTAGCAATTTGTCGAAGTCAACGCTACGGCGTTCTCGAAAATATTAAAGAAGGTATGCTATACAACCATTCGTATGCGGTTATCGTGTGCTTACCATAACCCAGTGGGATAAAACTTCTAAGGTAACGTAATGAGAGTGAAGGGACTGAGCATCACACTTATGATAAGCAGTCTCGAACCAAGGAATTATATCTATCACGTGCCGTCGAAGTTCAACCAGTGTTCAACAGAGATGTAATTACTGAGTTATCCGATCAAGCGACGACCAATCTGCTCGATTTTAGCGCCTGGGCTGAAGGCGAGAATGTTCAGTTCGCCTCACCTAGACGAGATGAGAATGCAATGGCTCTAGATAGTGCAGAAGTGGACGTAGACTTTGACTCACAGATATCTCAGTCTATTGCTCTAGGGAACAATTCTGGCATCGAGGAATGGACGAAAAGAATACGCGCATTGCCTGACGCACAGGACCGTGTTAGCAGAGTGTTTCTGAACGCCCTGGATCAAGCACCCGAATCGTCACTTCGGTTGCTACTCGATAGCAAACTCGTCAACCTGAACCAGGAAGATGACATAAATGAGCGGAACTGCCTACATATTGCCGCAATAACTGGGCGTAGTTGGATATTGAATATTGGTCTTCATGGCCAAGTCAACGTCAGGATACCTGATAGCTACGGAAGAATTCCTCTACATTATGCATGTATACATGGCTATGTCAACATGATTCAAGATCTCGTAGCTGCAGCTCCGGACACAACGGACTACAAGGATCAGAATGGATACACAGCGTTGCTACATGCCATCGAGCATTCGGAATTGGCCTGCGTAGAAAAATTACTCGAACTTGGCGCTGAAATCGACCCTTCAGGAGAAGCGGACCACATTCCGCTCAGTATGGCGTGTCAGCACGACTCCCAAGCTATCATTGAGATTATTTTGCAGAAGAACCCCCAGATACTACCAGATGCAGAGGGCTTGTATCCACAACATCTTGTGGCTCGTTCTGGTCTACTCCCGCACGTACTCATTATGCTCCGTCACTATGGCGCCGACCTAGACGAGCCTGACAAGCTTTACCAATGGACACCCTTGTTTCACGCTGCCAGTGAGGGACATCAAGAATGTTTACAGATCTTGCTACAGAGTGGTGTTGATGTCAATGCAAGAGATGAGAAATCACTGTCTGCTATGTACTACGCGACATGGGAAGGCCACCTAGGATGTATACAACTCTTGGCTGCTGTCACCGCTCCATCCACCCACCGTCCGCAGCAGATATCTCCTCCAATACTTGGGGCCATGCCTTTATCTTCGACAACCCCGGCTACATTATCTATAGAGGTAGAAGGAATACCAGATTTGTCTTTACCGCCACCAATCATACCAGTCAGGAGATATGGGCACAACTTCCTGGAATCCAAAACTTTTGTGGTACTCAATTTTGGAAGACCTGGAGCCAAACCAGTCGAATTCTTTGACAACGCAAAATATCCCGCTGCAAGACTTACAGTATCGTCAAAGTCCACAGACTTGATTCCAAGAAACATTCATCTTCCCATCCAGGAAGACGCACGGATGATTTCATTCCAAATTGACAACCTAGACTCTTTTACGATCGACTTTGAGCTCTACCCCAACTTTGGTTCCAAGCTTATTGCGCATGCCGTAGCACTCTCGCGCCGCTTCACGGGGAAGTCAAGCAGTTCTGGCTACTGCGATATGGAACTGTTTGATCCGAGGTCAAAAGTCATTGGCAGTATTAGCTTCACTTTCCAAGTCGTCAAACCTTTCCATGGCATGCCCCTAGAGATCACTCAATTCGCCACATACTGGAAGGCCACTAGCCAGTTCGATTCGCATCCAAATGCTCTAATCACAGGATCTAGTTTATCTGGCGAGTATGTCCGGATATTCGTTCAACTTACTAGTGATGGCATTCCTATTCTCTACCCTCAATGGACAATCAACCACTGTGGCCTGGACGTTGCAGTCAGTAGATTGACATACGAGGAATTTATCATCGTAGGACGAAGACGACGTACGGACGAAGGTCTATTACTAGATACCCCTAAGACTTCCTTCGAAAACATCCCGCAGATCCATCAGGCCTTGGCGACATCTCACATGACCTTGAACGAAGCACTTGCAATGCTGCCTCCATCAGTCCACGTTGAACTCCATGTATTATACCCGAATCGCGTAGAAGAAGAGCGTGCAAGACTGGGACCAACGCAGAACATCAATGATTTTGCAGACTCTCTCCTATCGGTCGTTTTTGATCATGCAAGGCAGCTGCGTGAGGCATCTGACAGCTATGTACGCTCGGTAGTCTTTTCCTCGTTCAACCAGGATATCTGTACTGCCCTCAATTGGAAACAACCTAATTGTCAGTAGATCATTCTTACGATCTTCCAGCCACTAATTACTACATAGATCCTGTCCTTCTGTGCAATGAGCTTGGTGCTGGCCTAGCAGCAGCTCCTACAGATGCTCCAGCCGTTCAAAGCAGTGGGCGGACAACGGTATCAGTGAAGGAGGCAGTCCAGATCGCTAGGGACAACAATCTAATGGGTTTGATGTGCAGCTCACGCCTATTGGTAAGTTTTAGTCGTTATAGTACTTTCTTCATTGACTGATGATCACTAGAATCTCGCACCGGCGCTTGTAGAAGCCATCAAAACTGCCGGTCTTGTACTGGTCACCGACATATCGAACGAGGTGAACGAGCCCAACGTCGCTAGAGGTCAAGCTACCGTTCCCCAAGTCGCTGCACCCCAATTTGCACGTCTACCTGAAGGTGTCGACGGGTTCCTCAGTGCTAATGGTGTTCTCACATTCCACGAGACTATCGACATGTAACTGGGCAAGGTTACAACAGCTCCCATCATCCTCAATTCGCATCCACACGGCGCAGGAAGCCGCATTCTGAGAAACATGGGCGTTGGACTAGTCGAGAAAAAATGATAGACAGGCCATGGCGCATGTTGGCGGCAGTTTATTCTATATAACAGTAATCTGACGAATGAACCTAAAAGGTGAGTTCAATCGGAAATCCACTACACAACTTTCTATGTTCTGTATCGAAACATTCCTTGAGAGGTGTGACACGTGACACGTATGCTACAATACACACCCTTTCGCTCAGCTTCAGCGACCGCGAGAATAGTTCGCAACATCTAGCTCAGGGCAATCATTCTAGTTCCTAGCTCCATTACATGATCGTTGCGCCTTTGTATAATGGTGAGTGAACAGCGCGTTCATAAACACAGCACTCAGCAATATAGTCTACGTTTTTAAAGAATGCAAGTATATGTGTGAGAGAAGTCAATGGCTTCTCGGAAAGCTATATGCACAGCTTAATGTTGTATCTTACAATACGAAGCATATATGCACTGTAATTAATATACACCAATGCGCCGTTTCCCACGGCCGTCTCAGCTGTATATCCGACTCTGGTGCGCCGCAACGCGCGTTTGTGGCGGTCTTATAGGAAGAGATCATTGGTACCCCTCGTTTCTCTGTTTATATTCTTCTTATTTCTTTAAGATAGAAATAACCTCTTGCTTCAAATCTGTTTCGCCATTCATTGCTCCTCCCACTCCTCATCGTCAGTGTGCGCGCTCGGATCTGGCCCATCTTCCATCAACAACTGCACCACTGTTCCATCATCTAGCGTCAGACTCCACTCGCTCGTCTCAAACTTTAAACAGATTAGCTCAGATCATTTCCCTTCGTTTACATGAACACGTACAAACCCCATCCTTTCCCTCCTCGCACTCACAAAGCGCATCATGCCACTCCTCCTTGTCCCCTTCACCCTATAACTAATATCGATCCGTCCTTGCACCTGATTAATCGTGCCCCAGATCCACGGCACCTTGTTGGCGAAATATATCTCGTCGCCCAGAATATTCCGCGCTTCATCGCTCATTCGTAACGCGTATAGTGTGCTGGACACCACCGAGGAGGAGGATTTTTGGTAATTGAAGATTCCGGCGGCAGAGGCTCCCAGGACAAGTAGGAAGATGGGGACGGTGCGCAGGTGACGCCAGCGTGAGGGAATGTTCGGGAGTTCGCGGTCGGGGCGCCGCGTTAGGAGGGGCCCGGAGCCTTCTTTTGGAGCGGCAATGAGGGTGCGACAGGGAATGCGGCGAAGGGACGGGCGGAAAATACGAGGAGCGGTGCATGGCAGTCGAGGTGGCATTGTGAATGTGTATGTATTTGGGAAGTTGAGTTCCAATGGGATGGAAGCTATATTCAATATCATGGCTTGGCGCTATGGTCATAGCTTCGGTGCAGCTTGTCTTGATCGATTTGATACATCGTTAAAAGAGACTAAATCTGTGATCCCACCTTTCACACAACTGCAAGCTTTTCCGAATCTCGTGAGGGTTCCAGTGTCATGAAACATCTCCACATTTTGAAGGCATAGCCCATAACGGGTCCCATTCGCTGCTATACTATCCGGAGAAACGTGGCCAAATTGAGCAGCATTTTGAACCTATGGTACGTTCTTGTGGAGGTGACTTTGTGAATACTTGGTTACAGCGTAGCAGTGGGTAGCAGTAGGTAGGAAGAGGCACATAAAATCGCAGAATCTATAGTTCGTGTGGAAGTCCCTAGTTGAGTTCGCAACACCCTTATGAATATTGACTAACCAGTGTTCGTAGTAATGATTTCGTCCGCAACATGAGGTATTGTAAAACAGGTGCACTGAGGAGAGACGTTCCGTCGTCCAGCGACTAGCCGTTATGATTATATTTAGTGTCCAGACATGAGGTAGGTTGTTGTTTCAGGACGACCCGGTCGCAGTAATCATTCGGAGCCGCTAATCCCCACGTGGTATCGCTCCATTTCTCCTTTCTGCCCAGTTGACTTCCACTCGTTCAACCTCACTTCTTCCTGTCACGAAACCATCTACTTGACTTGTACTCTCACTGTACTTTCTTCTCACTTCTTCTTTACTGGTCACTCTTTCGGCGCCCCGGCGACCCATACACTCATTCCAACTCATCCGACTTCGACGCGTATACTCATACTTCCGACCGTTTCCCAGTCTTCCTTTTCTCCGATTCATACTTGGCAGATACATTATCCGAAAACCACTTTCAAAATGTACAAATCGATCGTTCTATTTGCGTTCGCCGCCATTGTCAATCTGGCTGCTGCCACACCACCAGCGTGCATGCTTGCTGCAATCAAGTAAATCCCCCAACGGATATCGATTCCAAATATGCGCGGTCTTGGGAAAAGCATCAATAAGCGGATATATGACGAAAGATTGTAGACTGACAAGGCCATATAGCACTCAAGATAATATTGCCGACTTCAACTCCATCTGCGGAGACAACGCATCCGATGTTCAGAGCTCCATTCAAGAAGTTTGCGGCGACTCCGCCGATACTGCATTGAAGGCCTTTGCCGACGCCTGCAAAGAAAAGGGTCATCAGGTTTCCAACCCAACTCCCTCCTCTAACCCATCGTCTACCCCAACAGGTAGTAAGTCATATCTAGCATTCTTCTAAACCTCCCTGTTACCTGGTACCTTAAATAACGCTGACATGATTTTTCAATCAGGTGCTGCCACCCAAACGACCGGTAAGAGCTCTCCTACTTCCACCTGGCGGCGTTGCCGCCGTGAATTTCGCCTACTCGTCCGTACTAATCACTTACACAGAGGTGTCACCCCAAAACCCCCTTGGTGCCTCGCCCACCTCAGGCACGGTTACAGACAGCGCAGGCAACCCGGTCCAGACCGGTGCGGCCGGTCATATCACTGTCGGAGCAGGAATCGCTGGAGCCGTCGTTGCCGTCGTATTTGCTGCCCTATAAGCGTGACTGGCGAACGGACGAGCTTGTTGTGGATGATACACAGAAGTGACATCGGCCGGCCAAGACCGATGGCGTGATTGATCGAGCGATTGGAGTTCTGGGTAATAGATGGTGTATGCCTATCTCGAACTTTTCTGATTCGTGTGCGTATAGGTGGTTGACCTATCTATACAACTCTTTACAATTTTAGACTTCTCATACATCACAAGCTGACGCGTGAGTGACGTGTAAATGTGATTGATTGATTACCTACATATGTAAGGTCTTCTGCTCTGTCTAGCTCGAACCCACAACTGTCACCTACAGACAGTGCAGCTCAGTCCGACAGCACGTTAAGAATATAGCAACTAATCCGACGAAATAGACGTCATAATGTTTCACTTAGATCACTGAACCGAGCCGAATTTCGATGATATCCATAGATACAAGCGCACATAGCAAGCCACTTATAGCCACTTATCTATATCGTTGTATTTGCATATCAACAAGCTTCTCCATCTGCGTGATCCAACTCCTCGCAAACGCACCTTCCGTAAACCTCTCGGCACTCTTCCGCGCACGATGCCTCATTGCCAAAATTTGGTCTGACGGCAATTCCAAAGCCTTCAAAAAACCATCAGCATATTCCGAGGCCGTTGAGGCATGGAACCCAGTAGGCTTTCCATCAATATCGATGACAATGTCCAACTTCGGTCCTCCACTATTATTCACCACACTGATCAATCCCGCGGCCTGATACTCTACAACGCCAATACCAAAATGTTCGTTCCACATGCCATTTACTCCTACGGAGGAGCGCCGTAGCCAATCGAGGATTTGTGGCCAAGAGGCATCGCATATGAATTCCACCTGTTCCTTGATTCGGAGTTCGTGGGCGAGAATCCGTAACTTGTAGACGCGCGATGCGTCATCCCCGTCTCTCACGGAGCCGATGAGAATTAACCTTGGTGTGCCCTTTGGTGTTTTCGGTGAGTTTTTGACGAGTTCTGCGAAGGCCTCCAGAACTAGTTGATGATTCTTTTCGGGGCGAAATTGCGCGATGTATAGGAGGAAGGGGCCGCGTTCTGCTTCACCTACTTCGCTGACTTCGATCTGTTTCGCGAGCTCTTCTACTGCCACGGGTGGGAAGATGGCTTCTATTTCTTCTTTCATGCCTTTTGCTTCGCGGGAAGGACTCCATAGTTTGCGCAGATGCGACTTCGTCCATGTAGAGTTAGCCATCACAACGTCGATGGTACCACCAGTCCAGCCATATAATCTTGCAAACAGGCGCCAGTATTTCTGCTTTACTTTTCCTCGAAATCCTTCTCCTGTGCCTGCATTCACGCCTTGCCCGTCTTTTGATAGGTTATTAAGCATATCTGTTGATATCGTAGGATAGTGAACATATGCACCAGTGGGTACGTTTGGAAAACAGTAGTGTGAGAACGCGAGGGCAAATGAATAGCCCATAGTATCAACGAATATGTCTGGTACAAGAAGGCTAAAGGCATCCCAGGCAAGGAGGAGAGAGCCCACCGATTGGCCAAGAAGCGTGAAGTGAGGCCATGTGGAACTCAAGACATATCGACGAGAGGTGAGGTAAAGAAAGTGGACTGTCGGAGAGTAGATGTCGAGATTGAATCGCTCCTTCACACGTTGAAGCATAGAAATCTTATCAACATCATGGTCCCCGGTATATACAACGCAGATGGCACCTGGCCAACGTTTCTGGGTTGCTAAGATTGCGGCCCATAAAACTCGCTCCCCTCCACCGCCTGCATTACTGTCAGTGTGTTAGTAGGACTTTACTTATGAAAGACGTCAAGGCTCACCAAAATGGATGAAAGAAACCGATGATGCCTTCCCAGTCTTTGTCTGTCTTCACGTCATGCTTCGGTCGACCTGAGTCATGAGTCTCAGCCTTTTCCCATTCCTCTTGTTCAGAGGAACCTGGACTGTGTGTTGAAGGTCCCTGATTCTCCTTGTCAAGCTCAGTACGCGTAGTGAGAAGCTCGCGTCGTCCCTGAGAGCCCTTGATGAGCGCGAAACCTAGCAATCGTGCGGAGGTGACGAGAAACGATGGTAAGAGATATATTGAGGCCAGGAAGAGTAGAAACGATGTACCCAGGTATATGAATACGCTCATGGCGATCGTCAATGAAGTCAAGAAGCCAAGACGAGGTTGCACTGCATCTTGAATCCAGATGCTTGAGTAAGCCCCTCGAAAGCAGTAGTTTCTGGACAGCTGGAAGCATGCGTGCGTCACTGCGCGCAGACGCGGTCAACGGGCGCGCCTTCCCCTTTTTGGAATTCCAATGGCAGGATTCAGCGCACAGACAAGACCGTTTAGCACTGTACTTTTCAAATAATTAATCATTACACTACTGCGTTGACAGATGAAGAATTCGAAGGCTCTATTTCCTCGACCTTATCAAGGCCAGGGCAGCTTCGCAACTATTTCCTGGCCAGCCAGCTTGTAGGTCTAGCTACCGTCGCACGTACAATATAAACAACCTTGGCACTGAAAAAGGTGCCGTTCGCCTGTTCTTCCACTTCGAATCTTATCTACAGTTATTTTCAGACTTATGACACTTTCGAGTTAGGAGCTATGGCAGGTGTGATTCTTGCCGTCGGAGCTTGCTATCTCGATACAATTCTGAGCGTCTCGCACTACCCACGAGAAGATGAAAAGCTCAGGGCTGAGAGCTTGTTACAAAGACGCGGTGGGAATTGCCCAAACACACTCGAGGTGTTGCAGCAGTTAGCTAAATCGGATAACAACTGGAACCTGAGGCTTGAGCTATGTGCAACGTTACCTGCCAGAGACTGTGCTGCAACTAAAACAATCAAAAATTCTCTTCCTGGAGTCTGGTTTGACCATTGTTTCCACAGGGAGGACAGTCAAGAAGCTGCCAGTAGTTACATCATACAAAGCAAGGCCACTTCTACGAGGACAATTGTTAATTACAACGGCTTATCTGAAATGCACTTTATGGAATTTAAGGACATGATCGATCAACTTGAACAAGCCTCCTCTTCGCGCGCGTTACGGTGGTGCCATTTTGAGGTATGCCTATCTCTCTTCCATAGTCTGCGAGTCTAAGCTTGACAGGGACGCATACCAGAGGTCGCGCTGGAATGCGTTAAATATATAAGAAAAACCCTTATTGGCACGACTATTAGCGTGGAGATTGAGAAGCCTGGAAGACCCGGACTTGAAGCTCTAGCAGCAGCGGCAGACGTAATCTTCTACTCCTGTTCCTGGGCAAAAGTGAGCCACCTTTTCGCGTTATCGACAGCTAATTCTGATGATCTCTGTAGAGCAGAGGATACCGATCAGCACAGGCGTGTCTTGAAAGCGAAGCCAAGAATAGCCCTGTGGCCAGGACGCTTTGCTGTACGTGGGGAGCCGATGGTGCGCATGCCTTGACGAGATCAAGAAGTTCTGATGGATGGACATCCCTCCAAGCTGCTCCTGGGCAACCCAGCATTGTAGTAGTCGACTCGACGGGTTGCGGCGACACTTTCAATGCGGGCATTATATATGCACTCTGTCGCAGTAGCGACAACGTATTATATCCTCAGGACCTTGATTTTGCAGTCAATCTGGCGAGCCAAAAAGTTCAGCAAAACAGCTTCGACAATGTGGTAGAACAGCTGCGTCGTGGCAACATATTTAACGAGCAAAGCTTCTCATGACGTGAAATTTGCTAATATGGGTATCGTTGGCGATTACCGTATACTGCTTTTAGCGAGCTGGCTTTCATAGGATTATCATAATCAGCAATGCAGCTCTAACAAAGTTTTTTACCACAATTGTCACACCAGATATTGAGGGGGATGCCGTATCATCCAAAGGTGATGGATCTGATCCAGTTTTCTAGCTTGTCGTTCTCCATCCAGCCGACCTCGGCGCTGAGGGGGCTTGACAGACCCCGACCGAAATCAGGGACTGATGCTTATATCAACATTTATTAGCGGCAGGATGGGCCTGACATAAGTCCGAGACAGTTCATTGTAGCGACGATAGTGTTTTGACACAGCAAGAAGACAACATGAGCCACGGAGAAAGGTGTTAAGTATTGTACAACAGTGTGTACACTTTTAGGGGTAACAAGTCTCTTTGGCTTTGATAACATGAACAAGCCTGGCATACCCCCAACGTGGACCATGATAAGACGCCAAGGTTGTCGAAAAGAAAACGGGTGAGGCTCTAATGCTGGCAAATATTGACCAATCCAAGAGCAGCACATCGGTATTTTGGCTAGCGTTGGCGAAAAGCTCGAGCGCATTTCTCGACAAAAGATCCACCTCTTAAATCCAGGTGACCCTCTTTCCGCATCTCCACCATAATTGTAACTCGCGTGCGTTTCGACATTGTCTTCCCCCTCTCGATACTGGATATGAAATTGTAAGAGGAGGAACAACGAAGTATACTGAAAATTCTGAGGAATCACGGCGAACAAGAGCACCGCCGAGTCACCGGTCCCTCCCTGCCAAGGCAATTTTTCGACACGCTTAGTGCCCGACGGTCCCGGTCTCTCTTCATCAAACAAACGCGAAAATACTACAAGCTTTATCTACGGTCCACCTCATCCGTCCCTCAGCGGTATCGCGATGAAAGTCTTCTCCACCACAAACGAGTTTGACTACTCGTGGGAGGAGGTTTCGACTGGAAACTGGCGGAAATATGGTCCATGGAACGAGAAGACTCCGCATGTGATAGCCGTCGACACGCTCTCGCGAAGTGTAGATCCGTCCACAGGCATCGTGAGTATTCCTAAGATTATCAGGAACACAGGAGAGAACTAATCTGAGAGCACAGTTACGGACGGAGCGACTGATAACGTGCAAGCAATCTGCGCCGAAATGGCTGAATACCTTCCTGGGCGGCCAGGATACCTCCCTCGTTTACGAAACATCATACGTTGATCCGAAGGCGAAGAAGGTTACTATGTGTTCGATGAACATGACCTGGTCAGAACTACTGTCTGTACAAGAAACAGTCATCTACAAGCCATCCATCTCTGCACCAAACACAAAAACACAACTTGAGCAAACAGCACGGATCACCGCCCTTTGCGGCGGATGGCAAAAAGTAAAGAACAGTATCGAGCAAGTCACCGTTGAACGCTTCTCGCAGAATGCAGCCAAGGGACGCGAAGGCTTCGAGATGGTTCTGGAGATGAGCAGGAAGGTCTTCGCTGAACAGCGAGAGCAGCGCCAACGACAACTGCGCAAAGAGAACACTGCGCATATGTAACAAAGCCTCACAGAACTATGCTTGATCTGGAATTACGATCTCCACTTCCACCACTCACCACCTACAAACCCGATATAGTCACATCCTCTTTACCGACACGACATCGTTGGATTTTTCCCCGCGTTCTAGCGTTGTGTGAATCTCAAAAGCAGCATTATTTTCAGGCGTTTAGATTGTCATGGCGAAGAGAAACAACAGGCATTTCGGTTCACTCGTTCATGGGATACAATTTTGCTAGAGGTTGCGGTTTTGGTTAATTACACTGGTTACGATACACCATTAGACATAGAACGATACAGGCTTGTCAGTCCTGTAATCAGAATCCTTACCTCTCATTCTGGGGGTGCTTTATCTCCACTTCACACAGACATCTTGCAGTCGCTTGTAACAACGATTAGGGCAAGTAACGTGGTGAGTTGTACATACTCGACGAAGAAAGCACAGTGTCATGCAGCACGAGCCATAATCATGTATTTATGTTTTCATGCCAAGGTATCATAACGATTCACTCTTCTCTTCGCATGTGGGTCCGCAACATTTGCCTCACGCACACTAGACATCAACCCTCTGACCCTCCTTCTCGCCCCAGTTGACCGCCTTTCCGGTTTTCTTGATCCGTTCTAGTACGGTTTCATAGTCTGTAGCATCTGCATCTTTGTCGATGGCGATGAATACGTTGGGCTCGTCGGGAGACTTCTGTTCATGGAGGAATTGTGAGGCTTCGATGTTGATGCCCTTGCCTGTTGGGAATTAGAGCGGACGACAACATAGATGGAAAGAGAGGGAGTAGCGTGATCAAGGGGAGGAGATGGAGGACATACCAGCATCTTCTTGCGAGAGTTTGGTCATGGCGCGCTTCACGGCGCCGGAGCAGCCGCCGCAGGACATGCTGACGTTGAATTGATACTTATTGTACGTGGACATGATGAGGCACTCTGGTGGTGGTGGTTTCTAGGACGTTCACGATCAGGTATAGAGGCTGCCGTGGCTATTTGTACGTCGAGTGCTTTCTTCGAGATTACAAAGGAGCAAGAATGTGTGTTAGTGCAGCGACGGACTAAATATGGGAGATTTGTCCTTTGATGATTGCGTGATACACGGCTGCTTGCGCGGATTACATATCCATCTGGTCGCGGGCTGCAGGCCGCCCTTGTGTCCCACGGGCGTATCAGAACTGTCTCAATAGCCCTCACTATTGCTCGGCCGGAGAATCTGACTCTACTGTCAAAAGATCTTTCGCACCATCTCATAGATCATTATAGACTGTCATATTAGAGCGCATTACGAAAGTCATTGCGCCCTAAATTAGTGATGTCTAAATGCTTGCGGCTTTGAGCAGTCGCAGTGGCTAGCCTAGTAGAAATCGCGGGGCAAGTGAAGAGCATCGGCCATATGGCATGTGGCGGTGCTCAAGACTGGGGCGGAACGTCATTCTTTTCCTAACACCAACGCGTAAACATCTGCACGCTTGCATGTATCCGAGTCGTTGGTCAATGTCAAGATGTCTTCGTCAGTCGTGTCATGTTCCATTTTTGAGCTCTGCTAACAGACTTAAGTAATATGCTTCTCCTGCCTTTCAGGCGCACCCACACGATCAAACTGTCGGATGCCATCAGACAATACATATCCACGAAATATGATCAGCACCCTGACATGTTCAAGAACGATCTCGATGCCATTGATGAGCTACGAAAAAGTGCGGCCCATGCTGTAGAGCCACATGTCAGTGGCGTTAAGAGGATACAAGCATATGCAGCGCAGTTGATATGGTTGACGGGCAAATTTCCCATAGATATTGGGGTGGATTTCACATGGTATCCTGCCATAGGATACCAGACCTCGCGCCCAAATTCGGAGAACAACCTGCGGTTTGAGTTGGCAAATGTCGTATTCAACCTGGCTTCTATGTACTCCCAATTAGCTGTTTCCTCGAATCGAAACACGGAGCAAGGCTTGAAAATAGCCTGCAATTACTTCTCGATGGCAGCAGGAGTACTCTCGTATCTCAAGTCTACCGTCATACCGGAAATGCGGTCTACACCACCCGACGACATGGACATCATGACGCTGGAGAGTCTCGAGCGGCTGATGCTAGCCCAAGCGCAAGAGAGTGTCTGGCAGAAAGCCATCAAGACTGGTCTGAAGGATTCCTCAATAGCAAAACTTGCGGCGAAGGTTTCAGACTACTATAACGAGAGTGGCGAAGCTGGGATCAAATCGGATTCGATTAGCAGTGAATGGATACATCATATGACAGCAAAGCACCACCATTTTGCTGCTGCTGCTCAGTACCGGGCGTCTCGCTTCTGTCTAGAGAAACGACAGTTTGGCGAAGAAGTCGCGAGGCTGAACGACAGCCTGATATGCGTGAGTGAAGGTCTAAAAGAAGCACGATATATCAACAAAGTCGTCCTTGGCGATCTCACGGGTCTGAAGAACATAGTGCAAGAAGACTTGAAGAGAGCGGAGAAGGATAATGACATGATTTATCTGCAGATAGTGCCGCCAAAAAGTGAGTTAAAGTCGTTGGAAAGAGCAAATATGGTGTCGTCAAAGGTACCGGAGGAGCTAGCCAATGCTACGTCTAAGCTGGGCGAGAAGACTGAATTGGGAGCACCATTATTCTCGAAACTTGTACCGTACTCGGTGCACCTCGCCGCGAGTATATACGCCGATCGCAGAGACCGCCTAATCAACCATGGTATCATTGAAGAGCTAGAAGCGCTCAATGCAAAGATACACGACATGCTCACAAGTCTTAACCTGCCAGGATCTTTACAGGCTCTCGAGAAGCCTCTTGGCCTGCCCCCTGGCCTCGTTGCTCACGCCGAAGAAATCAGGGATCAAGATGGAATCAACCGTATACGAAGATCTATCGAAGAGACTAAGAAAGTCCGAGACAATGATACTGCGAGCTATCAAGAAGGTGTCGATCTACTTAGGGCAGAACAAGGGGAGGATGACAGAGCGCGTCGTAAATATGGGACAGAAAGATGGGCAAGGCCTGCATCTGTGGACGCGATGCCTAAGCTGTTTGCCCAGATTGATGAAATTGGCGGCTATCTGAAGCAAGCCGATAACAGTGATGGTCTCGTACGCAAGAAGCTAAAGGAACATGAGTATCACATCACACTCCTGGGTGCAACAGATCGGGATCTGGAACAATTTGTTCCAAGCAGTCGCCGGGTCACTCTGAATCCAGCTGTGGAAAAAGAGACGAGCAAGTTGCGAGGATGTCTGAACGAAGTGAACCGGCTTGAAAACAAAAGAAAGCGAAAAGTTGAGCATTTACGCATCAAGGCTAAACAAGACGACATCAGCGCAGAACTTCTCAAAGAGGCAGCACGGCTTGAGCGAGACTACCCGATGCAAAATATCGAGGCCGTCCAGTTCGAAGACCTGTTCGAGAAACGGCTAGAACTATACGACGACGACCAAGCCATGGTCAAACAGGAAGAAAAGGAACAGCGCGAGCTTGTGCGTCGCCTACAAGAAGCCAACTCGGCCTTCACGACCGCTAGAAAAGGCGACACATCCTCTAAGCACCGCGAGGAAGCTCTACAAATGCTCGAAAACGCTTTCTTCAAGTATAAGGAGATCATCAACAACGTCGAGGTTGGGAGGAGATTCTATAATGACCTGGCAAAGATCACCACTCGGTTCCGCGACGATTCTCGCAATTTTGCATATCAGCGCCGCGCCGAGGCAAGTCAGTTGGAAAGTGATCTAAGTACAGGCATGGCGAGTCTAAGTTTAGACAATGCACATGTCTTGAAAGAGCAGAAAAAGGCAGAGGCAAGGAGCGAGTCGTATGCAGCGAATCAACCACCCGTAGAGGCGCCTGCTGAGCCGTTAACGGCGCCGACACCGACGAGGGCAAATGCTGGTCCGGTCGCAGGAATGTGGACACCGGAAATGGGAATCAAATTTGGAGATGGACAGAGTGCTGGATCGAAGCCTTTGAAAGACGCGCGATGGAATGCTAGTAACGGGCTGAAGTTTGGGTAAATATGGGGGCTGGCGGTGACATTGTGTGTTAGAACTCTCCAGTCTCCCTTGCGTGAGCAGGATGTAGCGCGTGCCAGTTGTAGCAGGAGCCGTTTTAGCCAAAGCCACTATCGTAGCTATCGTTATGGGAGGCTCATACTCAGGCTTGTCCCTAGTATTTATCTTGAAGTAGTGTCAGAAAAGCATCAGCTTTCACGAAGCGGAATGGAGGCAGAGATCAGAGTAGGGGCCCATTCGTGAGGTTTAACGCAAGACGTCTATAAAATAGTCCTGCAGGTTGATTGAAGTGAATTGTACCCAGACCATCGGTATGTTTTGGTTGACAGCAGTCAAATAAGGATACGACTTAGACTCAAGTGGCTCCATCAAAATAGAGGTGCATGTCTAATGTTCATAAAAGATATGAGCTTATCTATAAGTAACGTACAAACATATTAATCTCTATGCCTTTCGGCACTGGATATCTAAATATTATATCTACCATTCTATACCGGTCATAAGAAGCTTTGGGAGTAAAATGTAACAAGCTTTCGTGGCTAGGAACCTATACTCAAAAAGTCGCCAATATACAATTTATCTCTATAATGATTACCATGAGCTTTCTTCTCGTCATCTGTTAGTCGTTTCTTTCGATGGTGCAACCTCATCATCCAGATTGTCAAGTCACCTGGACAAAATCTGTTCCCCAGTGACGTACGGATGACTTGCAAGGTTCAGTAGCTGAGAGATTCAGGACTTGCACTTTAGTGATGCGCTTTACCTACTACTATGAATGGCTAAGTCTTTTCAGATCAGCGGGGGTTTGTTTCGATACGCTTAATGGAAGTAAGACGAGGCAGAACACAGCAGCGAGACATAGTTCTAGACGGTTACTGTAGATACTACAAGATTCGAACTTGTAACGTGTAATTCGGCTTACCGATGGAGAAGGTACTACCAAGACGTTGTACTGGATCCTTCCAATAAAGGTAATTAGTCCTATACGGCCCCTCCGCCACGATAGCTGCATGCGATACTGTGCTATTCGGAACTCTAATCAGCCTGTGTACTAATCGGTAGTCAATCTACATAGCCCTGAACGACTCGTTTGATTAGCTGAAACTAGCAGCCCAGACATCCATTCCCCTAACACCCTTTTGACCCTCACATACACCCTCCAAGCTCGCCTCGCACGCATCTCGCAATGCAAGAATCACACCTCGCTCCCTCTCATCGCTTACTCGCTCGACTTCTCTCTCAAAAGACGCAGAAAGACAAGTTGAAACCTCCCATTGTCCATCTAACAGTCCCTCGCCACATTGCAAGCGAGCCTCACTCTCTAACTGCCATCCAGCAGCCAGGGCTAGCTTGGTGAGTCGCTTTGGTCCCAGCACTGTGCGGACATTCGAGTCACTTTTGGATTTATGACTCTCGAGTGCGGCCTGGGCGAGTACAGCTAGTACGTGAGGCTGGGCGGCGGAGTACGTTGCTACCAACGACCATTCCGCAAGGAGGAGACGCTTGCTATGCTGCCTAAGTGCGCGGAAGGTCGTCAGGATAAGTGAAGGGGAAGAGAAGTACCAGAGGCAGTGGGCAAGTACTGCAACGTCGAATGCTTTGCTGTCACCAGTGCGTGGAGACAAGGAAGAGAGGTACTCCAGCGGTGATTGCTGTACCCAGGTAATCTGCTTACCCAGCGGACCTTGCGAGATGTGATCTTGTGCTTGGCCGAGGGTATGGGAGTACCTGTAAGGTAGGAGGAGTATTATTAGGTACTCCGCCGTGTTCCGCTCGTTCGCCAAGACTGACAGCGACATACATTATACATACCATAGTTCAGTTCGGCGGGATCAACCGCCACTACGCTCCCGTTTTCGCCCACGGCATGGGCGAGTACGGTCGTACAGTCACCTTGCCCGCATCCTATCTCCAGCACTCTTGAGCCCGGGGAAATGTTCCAGTGCTGTAGAAGCGCTATACGGTGCAGAGTTTGGGAGTGCTGGATGCCAAAGGAGGTAGGATCGTGCAAGGAGAGACGGGCGATAGAGGCAGCATCAAGTTGGGGATTTGACATTGTGCTCAGTGATTAGGTGTGTACCTAGGATAATAGGCTTGGCGCTTCATACGCTATGGAGCCAAAAATGCTGTAAATACCAACTGATTGGATGCTGGGGCATGCTTCTCACGAGACGACAGGACTAGGTGTAGGTAGGTATGAAGGCAGTCTACAAGGCGGCACAGGGAGTAACTACGACAGAACTCTAAATATAGAAACATATGATGTTGAGCGCAAGTCTGCCTCGCAAAATAGCCTTACAGGTGGGTACAGTACACCTTACGCTCCGACGGGCGAGGCTGTGCACGGGAAGTGGGGTTAGGCATGGATCCATCCGTACCAGGACAGAAGACTGCGGGAATATGATTCGACAGAATGGCGATAAATGTAACTGCAGGGCTGCTATATTCGGACTTACTTTATTACAGAGAGAAAGAGTCATGGTCGCGTATTTCCAGAGCTGTTTGCGTGCATGGACAGCGAGGATAGATAATTAGCATTGATTGCGATGCATCGTGTGCGCTTGAGGCGTCCGTAGTTGGTTAGACGAGCAGTGCAGTACGTTATCATGGTTTCAATGCGGGGAAGGAAGGGCGTTTATCATGCACAGATGTTGATGAGGATGTTACGGTTGCAGACTCGTTGACCACAGAGTGTTCAGTGTGCATGAGATCGACCGGCAGTAGGATGCAAGTGTACTGTCACTAATGTGCCCAGTCCCAGTATCAGGGCTCTACATGGCTCACTTGGCGGTGGCTTGAGCGGGAAGTTGGCCAATCGCAAGCCAGTACGAGGTTGATTTGGAAAGCAGGGTGTGGCGAGTGAATTATCGCAGTTCTGCAGTTCTGACTCTCCATTCGTCATCGTATGATAATACTGTAGATCTATTCACAGAAACACGACGCCGAGAAAGCTAAATGTTGCATTCACGGACTCTTGGGCGGGCAATTGCGAGAAATTAGGGGCCATTTACGCGGCACGGGCAGCAAAACTCCCGGTCCTGGCTCCCTTGGCGTTTTGCTTGTAATTAATAACAGTACAGTAAGTATATACTACTATTTCGGGTGCTTACATTCTGGATTATACCTGCACCGGACTGTCAACTGCGTAACAGAATCGGGATTCAAGTTCCCCCACATGATCCATCAGTCTTTGCTGCCTATTTCTGGTCTGTTGGTCCGGTTCCTGAGTTTCGTACAGTATTATGCAACAGTGTAGGTGGTTTGGTTCCTGTCATTTCGCGATACTTAGGAATGCTTCAAACAACACTTCCTTCTCTATATCCTCAATCTGATCTTTGCTTACATCTGATTGCGAAACTCCTTCGTCTCAATAACTGAAACTCTCCATCTTCCAACTTCTTACCACGTCAGCGGGGCCGCATTGCTGACTTATCTCTCTCCAAAACCTCATCATCCCTTCATCCCTCGCACCGCGCACGCTGCACAGCCCGCTTCCAAGCACACGAACAACAATCGTCCCTTCTCACTTCTGTCTCCACTCGACGCGCCAGCTTCCTCTCAGCAAGCGCTGCCGAGCGAGATTTGTTGTCTATTTTGGTTTCCATCCTGAACTTGCTCTTCTAGCCGCTTACCGCCAATCTACTTCGAGCCCCTCTTGTCGCGTCGCACGTCCATACATCCTTGACTCCAACATCAACTCAATTACTGCTGCGCCTCGCCCTCTACATTCCACCATCCGCACTTCTGCCGCCCTTCTGCAGACTCGCGCGCAAGCTGAGGCTCTCACCAGTCTATTCTGTCTTCCCAACCACTCGTTACGCGCACCAGAGCTGCCCATATCCCGCCGAGACTGTGACGGGTCCCTGGTCAGAGCTCTCACTTTGTCTTCCCAGAAAAGCATCATTCGCCCTGTCTACACCATGGACCGGGGTCGCTCTCCCTCTGCCTCGCATGCTCATATAAGGCACTCCCCTTCGCCTTCGCCACATGCTTCCTTCGACCCTTCCACTGCCACTGGCTTAGCCTTGGACCAGCCTCAGTTCACTTCACAGCTCAATTCGAATTCTGCCCAGCCATACGACCTGAACCAAACTAGCTTCGACCCACAATCAAATCACTTCGTCGGCATTGACAACAGTAATAGCTCGGGAATCTTTGGAAACACTATCGATCCCTCGTTCCTTGACGATCAGACCTCCAACAACACCTTCCTCGATCCGTCACTGCTAGACTCGAACTCTCTCATGAGCCAGATGGCGACGTCGCAAGCCCACTCACCAACCCCTCCTCACCTCCTACAACCGCATAACAATATGCACCGCGCCACAAGTATAAGCCCTCACCATTCGCCGAACCTGAACCAAGGTGGCTTTCCTTCACCGGGCCACTCGAGACATGCCTCCCTCGATCCCTCTAGTGCCGCCTTTCCTATGCAGAATATGCAGAACAATGAGTGGGGGAACATGAGGTTCGGTCACCACAGAGCACCGTCAGACACCTTCTCCGATGTCTCTTCAAACTCCGCACATCCTTCGCCATATCTAGGGAACCAAGACAACTTTGATCCAGAAAACAACCCATCACCACTCTTGGGAGCCCAGCAGGACCCTGCGTTGTTCCAAGATCTCTCCAGCTTTGGGCACTTCACTTTGAACGAGAATCGAGGGCCGTCTCCTGGCCACAGTCCTCATATTTCCCCCAGTTTGCTCCCACAGCAACATCAGCTTCCCCCTTTTACACAGGCCGACAATTATGGCCTAGGGCCCAATTCAGGCATATATTCCAGCCAAGCACAGGAACAGTTTCCGACTCTTGGAGGCACTGTTCAAGACTATAGTGGTCACGCCGATCAGATGTCTCCTCCCGAGATCAATATTGACTTTGCGCCTCCGTCCAGACAAACAAGTTTTGAGCCTCCTAAGCCAGCTCAGCAGCATCCAGGCGACGCTCTAAGTCCTCCAGACAGATGTGAGGATATTTAAATCATTGGTTAAACTGAGACTAACAATTATGACCAGCGCGAAGCCGGAATCGCATGCGCGCAAAGTCTGATCCTTTCAGCAGTCAAAGCACTCGTGCTTCGAGCCCTGGTGATGATCAAGGCCTGTCACCAAGATCTGCCACTTCACGCTCTCCGTCCCCATCCACAAAATCATCTCGCCGGTCCTCAACGTCCAATCTGCCTAACCGGGACTACATCCTGGACCTAGCAGACCCGTCCAGACCTGCCTCAACAGGGTCAGGCACAGAAGGCGGTAACATGAAGCGCCAACAGAAGCATCCAGCAACATTTCAATGTTCTCTATGTCCAAAGCGATTCACACGTGCTTACAACCTGCGCTCACATCTTCGCACGCACACCGACGAGCGTCCTTTCGTCTGTAGCGTCTGTAGTAAAGCTTTCGCACGTCAGCATGACCGGAAGAGGCACGAGGGTCTCCACTCTGGAGAGAAGAAGTTCGTATGTCGTGGCGTCCTCAAAGAAAATGGAACCTGGGGTTGTGGCCGCAGATTTGCTCGTGCTGATGCCCTTGGACGACATTTTCGATCAGAGGCGGGTCGTGTGTGCATCCGGCCCCTGCTTGACGAAGAAGCACAGGAGAGGGGCTGGCAAGAAGAACAACAAATGCAGCAGCAAAACGGCATGATGAGCACGATGGTACCACCAATTCCAGGCATGGAGATGTCTGCGGGCTCAGCATTTGGCCAATACTCCGGTCCTAGCATGGACAGCGGGATGGGCATGCCTGGTTCCTCGGGCGGATATGCTTTGCCTGCTGCACTGCTCGCCCAATATCCGGCTCTTGCTGGGTTGCAATGGGACTCGCTTCCACCAGGTCCTCCTGATGAGTATGAAGGCGACATCAGTGCCCGCAGTAGCTTTGATGCTAGCTCGGGCGGTGATTTCTACGAGGACGAAGATAACGGTCAAAGCTACCAGCAACAAGGTTGGGCTAGTGATTACGAAACCAAACCCCTCGGCAGATGATGCATGACACTTGACGACGATGACGGCCACGGATTAACGGCACTTTGATGGGAATTTCGATCGTACATATTAGCATTACTCTTTGGTGGCGTTGTCTATGTTTTATTCTGTTTGCACTCTCTTATTGATACCACATGCGTATGTTTTCTAGGCCACAGAGTCGACAGGGAACTTCCTTCTCTATTCTCTATATCATTCTTTTCTCCTTTAAAATGGAGTGTGGTGTTTACGGTGGGACTACCCCCTTGAGATGCGCATTGCGCCGATGGGCTCGACTGATAGAAATATGGTCATTCCTATTTAGATCATGTATAAAGGAAGGAACACTGTGGCGATGGAGGAGAGATAGCGAAATAGGTTCCTATTGAGCTTTGCATTTCTTGCCCACTGATGAGATTCTTCGATTCGAGCTGCAATGAACGAACTCCTAAGACGAACGATCTCCAATGACGAGCGTGGAGTGCTTGACGCTGAGTACTGAGCGACAAAAGTAAGCAGACTAATCATGTTGTTGCACGTGAGTAGCTTCAATACTCGAGAACTGCTAGTCTCATATGGCATCGACTCTGAATCAGATCTCTCTTTTAACAGCTTCCTGACGTGAGGACATGTTCTCTCAGGTAGCTAATAGAGCACATAGTGATCCCTTTGAGTACGTAAATTCAGTCCTTAATGGGATAACAACTTTGGAGTCGGATTCTTCTGCTTTCAAAACCCTTGGGTTATCGCGATACGATGCTGCTGCGTGACTTTATTTCAGTAAACTCAGACCTCTCTACGAAGAGGACGCCAAGGCGCTACGCCTTTCTCCAAGAGGGTCTGAACCAAAAAGGCTCAGACCCTGAGACCCTCGTCGTCTTAGCGGCTTGACGTTGATTACGTACGTGGGGGTCTGAGTTTACTGAGATGGATAAGCATCCGGTACCTAGGTAAGGACTTCTCACTGGCTTCCAACGCCAGACTCACGGTCATCGGTTGCTTATTGCTCTATTCATCGTCGAAACGCGTTTAGGGTTCCATATGATGTTACGCGGGATTAAACATGAGGCTCTTTTGGCTACCGCTTGTGTTGCCCTGGGCAGCAGCCGCTGCGCTGCGGGCGAAAAGGTCGACTACGCCGGCTTTATGGTTCTCCGAGTGTCATTCAGAGCTGGCGATGATGCACTGGCAGCCAAGATCGAGGGTCTATCTACCCGCTCACCCGCTGAATCCTGGCGCGGAGAAACTCGACGTGGTCGTGTCTCCAGCAGAGGCCAAGGTTTTACGGAGCTTGTTACCTCATACGATCGTTGTCAACAACTATGCAGGAGCTAATTACTCTCGAGGACGAGGAATTTACAATAAGCTAAGACTAAGAAATGTCAACTTCGATGTTATACTGGTCTGGGTAGATAGTATATCCCTCGCTCGCGCTTTTTAATAGAAATATGGCGCTTTTTAATCGAAATATAATATTTAAGTTATAACTAAGAATTTCCCGGAATCTTTATTCTTTAACTTTCGTTCTACTCTATAATGGTTTCTCTAGTAGTATTCCTACTCTCTACCTATCTTCTTTACCTTCCTCTAGTTACGGCGGAGGTGCGCTATTATGTCGATGAATCATGTAGAAATGATAGCATAGATATTTAACCAGCTATTGCCAAAGCAATACATATGGCATAGCGGGCTTAGTCTCGTCTATAAGACTTTAAGAACGATAAAGATATACGACATATAACACGTCGACTCTTTAAGATTTCCTACCCGCCCGATAATAAGGACTCTAGGGACCTTGGAGAGGTAGTAGCAATAATGCACCTCATAGGAGCGGCATTAGAGACTAAAACAGAGCCATCTTAAGGAGAACGAGTAACGCGTATCTTCTATAACAACGATAGCCGCTGGCAAAGATTGTAACGTCCTCTATTTACATAGAGAGATACAATACCTTAGTTTATCTCTAAGAGTCTATATAGATTACCTTACTACTATTATAAGTAGAAAGTAGACGTGATTAAGGTTATTAAATATATTCTATAATTATATATATAGCTAAGTTCTAGGGATAGAGTCAAAGCTATTTAACCGTTTAGACACTAGTCCCGTTTAGGAAATAGTATCTCTTACTTAAAGTACCTTCCGATAATACTTCTCTATACTAAGTATATATATATACTTAGTAATAATTAAATAAAGGAAAGCTTAAAAGAGTAATAGTAAGAGATAGTACTAAGAAGAATAAAGAAGAGATATAACTATAAGAGAAATAACTCTACTATAAACTAATTATTATCTTTATTTAATCTAGTAGTAGTAAGGGTAGTTCTTTTATTCCTATATTAGTAATATTATTATAACTTATAATATACTATATAGATATAACTCTATTAGTAAATAATTTACGGACTACGTAATAATATATAGCTATATATTTAGACTATACCGTAATTTATTAGTTTTAGATAAGTACTATAGCAGCTTAATTATCTATAAGAAGATAAGGAACTAGAATATTATAACTTATAAAGATCTCTTTTATATCTAGTAGGGCCTACTATAAGTAACTTATAGTCTTTAAATAGGCTATATACTCTACTTTGTATATTAACTTAGTAATATATAATTATCTCTTACTATTCTAGGTAACTAAGCTTCTATTTAATTAAAGAATATATATAGAGATAGACTTAGCGGTATTAGAATCTAAACCCTAAGAAGTATCTAAGAATATATTAATTTCTATTACGCCTTTAGATTTCTTTAGTATAAGGTATTAGTTGATAGTATACTTAATATATTATAATATACTAAAGGCTATTTAAGTATATTACTCTAATAGATTTGTATTAAAAGTAGTGTATATTCTAACTATAAAGGTAAGATCTAGACGCGTACTAGTAACGAGATAATTAAGTAATCTAATTAGTTATATATATATAAGCTAGCGTTCTTAATTAATAATTTCTTCCGATCTTATTAGAAAGGTATTTATATTAACTAGAGTCTTTCTACTATTATAATCTATTATACTAAACCTTTTTAGAATATATTAAGAGTAAGCCTTTTAAGAAAGCTTAATTTAGTCTTCTTAAGATTAATTAATCTTAATACCTAATATTAAGCGCGCTTCTCTAAGATCTTTATATTTTATACGTTCTATAATCTATTACTTAAAGTATTAAATATAAGGTTTCTTCTCTATAAGTAGTAGGTTATTAATATAGATAGTAATAATAATATATCTAATAAAGATATATAGATTAAACTATAACTATTCAAATTTAAGAGATTAAAGAAGGTTATATAAGGTATAAAACTATTTCTAACTAGATTATTTTAATCTATAAATTACCTTTTAGAGCTTAAGAATCTTACCTAGTTTTTTAAAGTCTAGCGGGTATCATATATAGATATTTTTAGATAGACTACTATTTAGATAGATAGTATTAAAATCGATCTAGTAAATATACTTATTAAATTATATAGCCTATTAGAGTATAATATAAAGAGAATTATATTTAATAATAGGTATAAAAGTTTTATTATAATTAAGACTATATTTCTACGTAAAGCCCTATATAATAAGATATACCTTATAAACTTTAGTATTATCTATAGTAGTCTTAATATTAAATACCTATCTAGAGCTAACTATTATAGGGATATTCGTAGTAAGTAGAGCTTTCTACTATAATTAATTAATCTTATAACTTCTTAGCTCCTTTTTAATAGCTATTTACTACTAATACTAATTAGAAGAATTCCTAGCCTCTTTTAGATTTAAAGGAATATCTATATTTAAGGTAGTATTAACTAATAGAGTATAGATTATTTTCTTCTCTTCCGCATCTACTAAATTTATAGAGTTATTAAAATAAATTATATACTTACGTTTCCTTCTAAAATAAGATATATTAGAAGATAATCTTAATAGATATAGACTTTTATATAGTAGGTTATAGCTAGAGGAAGATTCGAATTTTAGTTAATTTACTCTAGATATAGTAGGAGACGTCCTACTATAAGAAAGGGTAGATAATCTCTATTAGAGTATCTTAGTAAGACTTATTATATCTTCTATATAGGGCTAGAGGTTCTATATATTTTAGATTACGACTAGTATATTATAAGATACTCCTCTATTATCCGACTCTTCTTTAGAGCTATCTCTTTCTATAATAATTAAGGAAAGAGATTACTATAGAAGTAGTCTCGGATTAAAGAGTACGAAAGTAATATCTTATAACTTAATAATAACCTTATAGTTAGGAATATAGTACTTATAGATTTTATCTAATTTACTATAGCTAACTAGAATACCTTTCTCTAATCTATAGAGAAGCTTACTATCTAGCTTTCGTACTTCTTTCGGGATATATATATAGTAGGTAACTCTAAATAGATATAAGTTTTAGATAGAAGGCTTCTTACTAAAGAGAGTATAATATAGTATATTAACTATTAGAAGAGAGGTATATAGTATAATATTCTTAATAAACGTTATTATATAAATTACTTTAGTCTAGAATTTTAACTTAGTATTAGAAGAGAGAATAGATCTTACTAATATTTAAACTATATAGTTAAATCTTTTAGCTATACTATTCGACTTATAAGAGTAGATAGGAGAGGTAATATATATAGTACCCGTTTTATAAAAGAAGTCTTAAAGACTTTTAGTAATATATTTACCGCCTTAGTTAGATATAAATTCTTTAATACCTATATTAAACTACTTCTTAATATATATAAAGAATTATATAATAACTTCGGGAGCTTCGGACTTATACTTTATAAAATAGATCTATATAAAATAAGTTAATTCTTTAATAAAGGAGATATAGTACTATAATCTATTTAGAGACTTACGTAGTATTTTACTAGAGAGATTACTATAAACTCTATTAAACCGTATCTTATATTATCTATTTAAGCTTAAAGACTTCTTATATATAGATTTAGATATACTATAACTCTTATAGTAGAAGTTACTTAGCCGCTTAGAGATTATATTAAAATCTTTATAAAGTCTTTTAGAATTTATAACGTAATAATAACCTATAGTATAATAGAATTCTTTATATAATATAAAGTATACTATAGTATATAATGGAAGCGGAGAAGATATATAGCGTAGGTAAATCTTTATAAGGCCCTTATAGAATTTTATCTATATTACTTTAGATCTATAGTAGTCGTATAAGAAGAGATTATTTCTTTTTACTCTTAAACTATACCCTTAATTTCTAATATATAACTAGAAGAAAAGGCGTATAGAATTTAGTTACTTACTAAAGAGGATATTAGTAAGTTTAATCTTTTTTATAGAATTATCTAAGAGAATATAATTTAGAAAAACTATTCTAATACTATTAATAGAAATCTTCTAATAATTTATAATTAATATATTACTAGAGGTACGCGGTTCTAGTAAGGTAAAGTTATTTATATAATCTAATATATATTATAATACACCTAAATTAAAGATCTAGTTATATATATCTATAGTTATATTAGAATTCGTAAGAAGTCTAATAGCTTTAATATCTAGGTCTAAAAATATTACTAAAATAAGAGGCTAACTTACTACTTAAGATTACTTACTATTTATATTAGCTATAGTTATAAAGAAACTAATAACGTTATTATTAGAGTTAGATTTAGAATCTAAAATTTTAATAACTTTAGCCTTATTAGCCTTTTATTACTTACTTAAGAAGTTCTTTTTAGAGGAAGACTTAGAAGACTTCTTATCTAACTTATTATCTTCTTTAGAGGCTTTAAGTTTATAATAGTCTTAATACTTATAACCTTTAGAAGAAAAGCCGTATTTCTTTATAAGAATTATAGACGTAGGATAGTAGTCTAATAGGTTATAGAAGGATTTAGGAATATATTTAAAAGAGTAGTCTACTCTTCTAACGAGGTTAATTTCTAAAGAGTAGGAATTAAGTATATACGGTCTACTTATATAGTAGTCTCGCTTATTCTAGCTAGCTTAACCTAGGTCCACCTATTATAGACTATACTAGACTATAGTAGTCTAGTTAAGTCTATCCTAGTATTAGCCCTAATAATATTCTTCTTCTTTTTATACTTCGCCCTAAAGTACTTAGCTATATATAAATCTATAATTCTATAAGCGTTATATTTATACGCGTATCTAATTAAATCTATATAATATTATTAATAGTCTTTATATCGGTAAACTTAAGCTCTAGTTTACTTTTATTTATATATACGCTTATCCCTTACTTTATAGCTACTACCTTAGAGGTAGCTCCGCGGGTTATATAACTACTATATTAACTAAGCTTATATTTAGTTCTCTTATTCTAAATTTTCTTCTCTAGTATATCTACCTTACTCTTAAGGTAAGTCGTTAATTTATATACTATCTCCTTTAGTTTAGATCTATTCGGGTCTAGAGTAGTCTATTTTTATTAGAGCTAGTTCTATATAATCTATTCGCGTTATTATAGTT